GCAAATCACTCTTGGCCCTGAAAGGCTGATTCATCTCTGAACTAGGAAAAGAGAAAAATTTAGCTGAATGATTCCCCTGATACTTACCTCAATTACTCTGATAACCTTTCTCAGTTTTCAACCTTGGTAAAGTCGTTTTATCTAACCAAATTAGATGAGGACTGCTTTCAGGATTGTAGTGTTGCAGTTAAAATAAAAACCAATTTGAAGTCATGTCTGCTGAGGTCTATATGGATGGCACATACCTAAATCTGAGATTTACTCTGAATACACCCAAAATAGCAAAAGCAATGATAATAATAACAATAAGTTAGAGGGATGAATGAATAGTTATATGACAAAGCTAATACAATAAAACGTTAATTGTAGACTCTAGATGATGGTGTATGAATGCTTCAACCTCTTTTCACTTTTCTATATATAGAGACTTTTTCATGATAAAATTTCAAGAAAAAATAATTTAAATCAAAGTGGGAATCAGGACTGGAAGGAGTCCTTAATGATACCTTGTTTGTCCACTTTCTTTGCCTCTAACTCTGGCACCTGTGCACAGTACAATTGAGTCAATGTCTGTGAAATTGAGCTGTTGAACTGAATTCCAATCTACTAGGTCACTTCTGCAGGCAGCAGGATTTTTTTTTTTAATACTAGGGATTGAACTCAGGGGCACTTGACCACTGAGCCCCATCCCCAGCACTATTTTATATTTTATTTAGAGACAGGGTCTCACTGAGTCACTAAGTGCCTTGCTTTTGCTGAGGCTGGCTTTGAATTCATGATCCTCTTGCCTCAGCCTCTCAAGCCACTGGGATTACAGGCCTGGCAGGATTCACTAAAGCACGAGTTAGAAAATTTAATCTGGGAAGGTCAGATAGTAAATTTTTGACACTTTCCAGGTGTAATCTCTGTCATAACCACTCAACTCTGCCATTATAGAATAAAAGCAGCCAGATTCGATGTACAAATGAATGATAGCTCTGTTCCAATGTGTTTTATTTACAAAACAGATGGTACTTTATCTAGACCCCAAATGCTTACCTCCCACAAAAAATTGGGAATAACATTGATGAACTGCCAATAGCCTATGTAAAGATTACATAGATGTCAGGAAAGGTTGTAGCAACATTAAACAATAAGACTTTTAGTGTGTACCTCAGATCCCTTACTCAACTATCTCCTTTCATCAGGAGCAAGGTTGTTTGCTGAACCCAAGGTTTGAGAAGCAAGCATCCTTAGGAGAGACACTTTATTAATCTACAATTCCAGTAAGTATGAACAGTGCACATCAGATTCCAGGCTCCGAGCAGAGTACCAAAAGGAATAAATGCAAACAGTGATGGAGTGATACCCCCTGTGGAGAGATAACCACAGGAAAAGCTCAGGCTGCAGAAAGAAGCTGTTGGCACCCTTGTGGGCTGACTCTTTAATAAAGACAGACAATAAAAGTGATAAATAAGTAAATTATGCATTGTGCTATAAGGTCATAAGTATTATGGAAAAAAGATAGAGAAGAGTAAGGAAGTTGGGCAAGCTGGGTGGGGGTGAGATTATAATATTAACAGAGTGGCATGGGCAGGGCTCATTAGTAAGAAGCTATTTGAAACAGAGCTTGGAGATGAGCCAGGCAGATTTCTGGGACAGTTGATCAAGCAGAGGATACTGACCATGCACAGGCCCTGGGGAAGATGGTACTTAAAGCATAGGAGGCGCAGCAAGTGGGCCAGTTTTAGGAAAGGTAAGATAAAGGAAAATAATATGAGATCGTGTTAGAAACAGTACTCAGGGACCAGAAGAGGAAGGAATACCGGGGAATTCAGACTGGAGAAGTGGGAAAGATTTGATATACATTTAATCTGGCTACTCAGTGAGGAATACCTGTAGGGTGCAAGAGTGGAGGAAAGGAGAAGAGTCTGGAGGCTAGTGCAATATTCCAGGTGAGGGATGATGTTAACTTTGGCCAGTAGGTAGCAGTAGAGGTATTGAAAAGCGGCCAAATTTGGGACACATTTAGAAGACAGAGCTAACCTTATTTCAGTAATGATTGAATGCTGAGGTGTATGGGAATGCTAAAACAAAACAAAACAAGGGTGATCGTGCTTTCTTTAGCATGAGCAACTGGAAGGATAGAGTTGCTATTTGCTGAGAAGGGGGAGACTGTGGAAGGGGCTAGTTTAAGGGGTTAATCAGTATGTCTGTTTTGGGCATATTAAATCTGATACATCTATTAGATATTCCAAGCATAAATGGACAATTTGACAGTGAAATGTGACTCTAGAATCGGGGGGGGGGAATCTTGGCTAAAAGTTGGAATCATACGCATATAAGTGATGTTTAAACCCATAAGCCAAAGGAATGTATCTTATTCTAAAAAATGTAAGCACAAGTGAAGAAGCTTATTCATGTTGTAAAGTCAAATGAGCCAATGTTGTGTCCTTTTAGCTGTACTTCCTGCTAAAGGTTTACAGGAACAAGCTTTAGGGTAAAATCCTAAGGGCCTCAACTGGGTGAAGGTGACGAGGCAGTCTGAGCAAATTAAATCATGTAATTGAAATAGCAAGTTGTCAAAAATTAGGATTTAACTGAAGATATGGAAAATGCAGAGTTAATGCAAGACTCAGGAGAAGTAGCAGAGGAAGTGAATGAATAGAAGACCTAAATAAATCTATGACATTTTGACTTGGAGGAAACCACTCCTCCCAGCTGCCTTTGAGTGTTTTAAGCCCCGAGAAGGGATGGAAATTCCAAGAGATTGTGCCCACGAGTTTCCACAGTTATACCACCTCCTCCTTTGCCTCCTTAAATTTACTTTTTATTCTAAAATCCATCTTTTACTGTGTTACCATATTTAATAAGCAGTGGCATAAATACAAAGCACCATATGGAAAAAAAAAAGTTAATTGGCAGAAGGTAGAACTTACTTCACCAGGTTGTTATGCTACCATTACTCTGCTTTGCTCCCAAGATATCAATGACTGCAAACTTTATCCTTAGAGGATGGAGAGCTATTTGGAATTCATCAGTGACTTTTATTTGCTATCAAAGTATAATCTACACTCTTGAATTTTCTGAAGGACTCTTTGCCCTCTCGCAAATTCCAGTTCCCAAACAGAAATATTAAAAATGTCTCTGCAAGTTCTTTTTCACACTCTACTGGAATTAAACTATGATTTGTGCTCTTCCCCCACTAGACATAAGCCCCCGGAAATGTGGGCTTCCTCTGTTCTGTTGACTGTTGTGTCTCTCAGTAAGATTTGACTGAATGAATAGAAATTATGCTATTCCTTTGTCCACCCAAAAGAATACCTCTTTGACACCAGGTGTGCCGGTGTATGCCTGTAATCCCAGCAATTTGGGAGGCTAACGCAGGATGATCTCAAGTTTAAGGCCAGCCTTGGCAATTTAGCGAAACCCTGTCTCAAAGTACAAAAATTAAAAAAAAGATTGGCGATGAAGCCCAGGGGTAAAGCACCCCTGGGGTGTGTGTGTGTGTGTGTGTGTGTGTGTGTGTGTGTGTGTGTGTATATATATATATCTATACCTCTTTGAAAGTCAATAGTTTTGCTTTCCTCCAAAACTTTATCACATCATAGATGCTTATGAGTAAGTTAAAGCATTCAAAAATTTATGTTAATACAGTGTGTCAATGCATGCCAAAAGAATGATTGATTTTCTTGGGTATCCATAGAAGAGCCTAAAACATGTCATTAGATTTATTATATGTGACCAGCCAGTGTACACCAGAGAAAATGGTGGTCACAGTAAAGCAGGGAGCTGAAACTTCAAATCTCGGTTCTTGTGTTCTGATGAAATAAAATTTAAAGTCTGACTCCAAAAGTCATGCAAGAGAACTTTATTTTAGTCTAGAAAGTAAAGTAAAAGCAAAATGAGGCTTAAGCAGAGAACACTCTCCAGATAGAGTGAGCCATCTCTGAGCAGAGAACAGCAAGGAGACAATGCTGTCTACAAATTTATTACTGTTTGATGTTTACCAGGGGAACTGGCAACACCTTCTGTACTCTTTGCCAATCAGGTGTTCAACTCCTACTTCACATTGGATGGTGAAGTTTTTGATCTTAGTTGGTCCTCTCCAGAACTGTCATGATGGCCATCCTATTTAGGGGGGCTTCATCTACAAGTCAATCTCATGTTAATGTGGGCACAGTGGGCAATAGCTGGTCAGAAGTTACCTTAGTGTACCTTTACTGTTAAAGGAATCTTCCTTCCTAGACAATTGGAGACACTTATAGCCATAATTCCTAGCTTTACATCAACCTCAGTGTATCCTGTCAAGAGTTAGTCCCATTAATTCTTTTCTCTTGATGAGTTTTACAAATAGCTCCCTTGCTACTGTTTCTTTTTTAGAAATTAACTACCACCCTTTGCTTTCTCATCTATTTTGGAAGTCACTTAAAGAAGATCCTAAAGTAATTTAAAGAACACTTGTGACCTTGCCTGCATTTCACTGCTCATTGGTTGCTACTACCTAACAGAACACGTAAAGCCAAACATGGTGATATTGTCATGATATAAAGTAACAATCACACCTTTTCATTGTAATCTTGGTGCATTGTACTGAACTCCTTTCTGTTTCTAGATTCTTAATAATTGCAACTGTGGAAGTGTGCTCCTTTTTGGTCATAGGAACTATTCTTTTGCCTTTTGCAGGCTCCCTTTGTCCAAGTGTTGAGTTGAAGTTTTCATTGCTTATTCTCTGTGCCCTTTGGCATTACCTAATGGTTTCCTGACCAAGTCCTGTGAGAGAAGTCAGCGTCAGCAGTCCCGTTTTGCTGAGAGATTTTCTTGTTCTTTCCAGCACAGAGTTCTCTAAACAAAGGCAGGGTTATCGCACGTACCCGAGTGCTGCCTGGGAAAAGCAGGAGCTGTAGTTATCAAAGTTGGAACCTTTATGAAATATGCTTTTGTCTCCGTTTTTGTTGCATTCAATCAGATCAACAAGTGTTGGCTAAGTGTTGAGCGTGGTTTCCTGTAGGATTGTGTAAGGCCCTGCAGGACAATAAACGTTTGGGGGACACTGAGTAATGTAGCCATTTCTGACCCAGCAGCCAAGAAAATGTGAGCCGATTTGCTGCTACTGGGAAGAGGACAGCCTCAGCTGTGTTCCTGGGAGAGCAGATTAACTTCACCACAGTGGACCCAGGCGACCAAACACGCCAAAATGGTGCGTTTTAGTGGCAGGTGGCTATGCACTGTCACATCCTACAAGAAAATAGATTCAGATCCAGGTGTCATGGGGCTTGAAATTATAGGAAAAAGTAATACCAAATTATGAATATGAAATTGTTGGGGCTTCCCCTGGCACTTTGGAAGGTGTAATTTGGGGACCAGAGGCTTAGACTGCTATTGTGAATTTACTGCTTGCTCAAAATCTCATCAAAAGCTATCAAATTGTGCTATTTCCTCTGCTAACTGCTTTTTATATTGACTTTGTAACTGCTTTCAAAAAGACAGAATTTTCACTTATATCTTCTTTATACTTTCATGATGTTAATTTAGCTATAAATATTGGTTCTTAGTTTCCTGAAGTCTCCCTAAATCAGAGACTTGGTGGTATTTTAGGCAGACATAGAAAGATGAGAAGGTTAAGTATATAGTTACACTCAAAGTTCTTGTGGGCCATGATCATTTCATTGGATTTTTAAAAACAGTACAAATACATCGTGCTCTGCATCACCATTTCTCAAGCTCTATGTGCACATGGATCACTGGGATCTTGCTAAAATGCAGATTCAGATGCACTAAGTCTGGTGTGGGACCTGAGAGTCTGCATTTCTAATTAACTCCCAAGTGGTGCCAATGAGTAACTTCCAAGTTTTAATTTGTAAGAAATATGATGGTATAATACACCATCAAAAAGGGACTGGTTCAACCTGATTTTAAGGTAATGAGTGCCAGGATGGGAAGTCTGAAACAAATCTACAGAGTAGTTGCTTTTTTTTTTTTTTTTGACTTGAGAATTCAAGAGATCTTTCTGCCTCCCATTAACTTCTATGCCTAGCAGTTGGAGGCAGGGGGATGAAAAGTGAAATTTGATCTTCGGGGGTTCCTTTCATTGTCTTCATTATTTTAACTTTACTATGGTCTACTTTTAAATTTTGCCTAGGGAGTGGGAAGGTGAAGGGATATCTTTCCAAAACATGTACTAGGGTGCTGGGCATTGTTACTACCACTTTCTCTTGACTCCTCATAACCCTTCAAGGTGGCTATTGTTTTTACTCCCTTTACAGATGGGGAAGCTGAGGTTTGGCAGGGTGAAGTAACATATGGGGTTGCATAGAAACAGCAAGGATACAAATGAACCGAAACCTGATGCTTTCACCCACATCAACCTAAGCAGCATTATGTGGTAAACTAATCCAGTTTGTTTAGCTCATGGATTGATCACTTTTTGTTTTGCTCCTAAGGGAAGTGCCCCAAAAGAGTGCCTTGGGCAGAGGGGAGGTAACAAAAGAAAAGTGGTTGCTGCAAAGAAGAAGAAAGGGCTTACAAAAGCTCTAGAAAGTGCTGAACATGAATTTCACACTCAAAGTAAATTTTAGTCCAACAGGAATAGCATTGAAATTTTGTTTTCTTTGTGAGAAAATAGTCCTCCCAAAATGTCTGGTTTTTCAATTCCTTTCAGAGTAATTAACGTATGGTGTTCCAAAATACTGAGGATTTGAGTGTCCATGTTAGAGTTTCTGTCTGTCATACTATGCCAAGATCAACTCCAATTTTCTCTGTCCTGCATGTGAAATAGGAATTTGTCAGGTTTTGAGGAGCTGGTATTTGGGTTTGACCAGCATAGTAAGACTTCTTAAACCACTGCCTGCCACCTGATTCCGAGTTAAGCTTCTTGATCCTGTTGAGACTTGCCATTGTGCTCTGTTTAGTTATTTAGCATGAAGATAAGCGGGTCTGGCTTTGGGCAAATATTTGAAGATTAAGTTTGTCACTGAGTCCTCAGATTTCTCTTTCAGACCCTGCCCAGTCCCCTCTTGGAGAATCTTCCTCCTCCTTCTCATACTCCCTCCTCTACTGCCTTCTCAACATATGTATTGTTTAACTACTTGACACTAATCAAAATCATTAGCTAAAAATGACATGTAAAATAAAAGAATATAACTGAACCAAGTAAAAGGACAAGGAATTTCTGTCCTCATCTCTCATTCTTAAAGAAGAAAACTGTAAGGCAGCATCATGAGCCAGTCAGGGAATAGACTTTTTGGTTCAATAGCTCTATTTAAACACCCTCCTTGGGTGCCTCCTACGCCTCTTCGGTACCACTTAAAATTTATTTCAATCTTTAAGGTCGCATGTTCTTATTGACTTTCAAAATGTGAACTTCTTACTCTCATAATATTCTTTCCTTAAAAATCCTAAATAATCATAGTGATTACAGTCCTGTTAATTCAACATGTGCCTTTTGTGTATGTAATAGGTTACATAATGCTTACTGGCTTCTTTGTAGAAAATACTGTATTAATTGCAACTAGAGTTTTTTTTTTTCTTCCCTATGCTTTAATATCTCTCTAGTTTTATGTGCTTATGGAAATAGGCAGCCTGGGCTATTTGGTAAGCAAATCAGTATTTCTATTCTACATGGGAGGTAATGAGAGTCCAGCCAAATCCCACCTGCTCCTCTATGGAAATAGATTTCTGTTTAATGCTAACTAGGTGTAGGATCTCATTATATTTTGAAAAGTTTTTCTTTCACCTTCTCAACTGAATTTCCCTTTAATAAGGGGGGTGGGGAAAGGCTGAGCAGAGAAGGGTTTGCCAGGTGTTGGACAGGCATTTGAATCAACCAACAGTGGTACCTGATCCTTGTTTATTTATCGTCCTAATACAAGGAAGAAGTCATTACATTTCTAAAAATTAGTCATCACCAATTATCACCCCTATATCAAGTGAGACCATAGAAATGCCTTTAATTTAGAATCTAGACTATTTAGAGCAGAAAGGGGAAAATACAGAGACAGAGCAAATAGAAGGGGAACAGTGGGTGCAAGCCTGAGTGTGAACCACAAAGCTTGTATTTGAAGAAACTCATCAGGAGATGACAAAAGCATGCATCATCAAAACAGGGCTTTGAAGTTGGTTAAGGAAGCCTTGGAGTCCACCTTGGGGAGGAGAGTTCTGAGGGACTGGCTCTCTGAGATAGAACTTCAAAGACATGTGGCTCCAGGTGTTTGTTACATAACAACAGCATATTGCAGACCCACATGCACGAGATGTGACCCCCATCTTTGTGAAAATAAGCATGTGCCTGTGTATATTTGAAAAAAAAAGAATCTAAACTTACATTCTTTCACCTACTTGTAGTTCTTGGTTTTGTAGAATAAACCTATATCACATATAATTTTAGAAATGAAAGAAAAAAATTCACAATGGGCAAGATTTTGAAATGAACAATTATGTTGAAATTAGACAAATTTTATTTTGTCAGATGCAACAAGCCTTGTAAATCCTGGGTGATTTATTGAAGAATCTTGAGGGCTTCATACATTTCTTCATTTCTACTCAATATTCTTCTTCTCTTCAACAGACACAGGAAAATTTGTGGATGTGTCAGTGGTTTCTTCAACTCATTATTTATTTATTTATTTGTTTTGCAGTGCTGAGGATTGAACTCTGGGCCTTGTGTATGCGAGGCAAGCACTCTACCACTGAGCCACCTCCCCAGCCCAGCCACTCATTAATTTTTATATAAAATTTTGAAAAAAAAATTTTAAATGTGATGCATATGAAAGTTCCATACATAGAAAAGTGTGTATATCATCATGAACTGCTGGGACTTTGGGTTTTGCATTTTATAAAGTGTACTTAATGTCATGAATTTATTCAGCACCTGAAAAAATTCTAAAAAACAAACTTTCTGTTCAACCAACCAGATCTATTTAATTAGCACTCTTCTTTAAAGAGTAATATTTTAGCTGTAGGCATAAAAGAGATTTGGCAAAAGTTTTTATACTTTTCTCTTTCTGCTTTATTAGTAAAAATTTTAAATATAGAAATGCAAGTGTGCCCTGAAGCTCTGTCTAGTGTTTGGCTCCCCCAAAGGGGTCTACATCTCACAAAAAGTATACCTGCATGGTTTCCATGAATTTCAAGCAGATTCTCAGCTAGCTGTACATTTTGGATGTAAAAAAATAAATTTAAACTGGATGAGGTGGTACACGCCTATAATCCCTGTGGCTCAAGATTGCAAGCTTAAAGCCAGCCTCAGCAATGGTGAGGCACTAAGCAACTCAGTGAGACCCTGTCTCTAAATAAAATACAAAATAGGGCTGGGGATGTGGCTCAGTGGTCGAGTGCAGCTTAGTTCAATTCCAAGTACCCCCCCACACACACACCTCAAAAAAAGAAAAGCTTATCTAGGCAGGCATATGCATAGAGTTTCCAACCAAGGCAGAGATGTAAGGATGGTGTGACATCTGCCTCTGTAGATCCTGCCAGCTCCACTCCACCCTGATCTCTGCCCTGTCTCCTAGCCCCAAGCAAAGAAACCAGTGACCACTGTGGACAACATCCACTGTGCTCAAAAGAATCCACTCCACTTTTCTACCTCTGCAAAAGAATTATCCTATTTTAAAACTCAGTGGAACAATATCCAAAGCAAAAAGTTATTATTTTTAATGAATAAGATTTTCACTACTTCTGTCCATAAGTCAAGCAAAGGCCATGGAGGCCATTTTAGGAATTAATAAATAGTCTCCTCATTATTAATAATAAATAGCTCTCCTGTGAGCTGTCCGGAGTGCCATTTTTAAGTAAATAAAAAAGGCAAATCAATAATAAAAGCTGGTTTTCCAAATTCCCTCTTTCAGAGTTGCATGGTGTACGTCAGGAGGAAAGGTGGCTTGGACCGATGGTGGTTTATACAACATCTGGCTATCTTTCTTAGTCTCCTTTTCTTTTCATTTTGGCCATAGTGGGCTCCTCATAGTCCTGAGCCAGTGAGAATTGATTGGATGGATTTACCTGGCACCTGCCTCCAGTCAGACAGAGCAATGCCTGTGTGGGTGCTTCCTGATCAAGAGTGATAAATAGGATGCAAATATCTTCTTTTTAAAGCCCAACCCTGGCATAGCCAGAGGAAATATGAGTGATGGTGGCTCGGAACACTAACTTTTGCTTAGAGCTTGAGAGTTAAACTTAGGGACCCGTGTAGACTTTGGCTCTAAGGAGTTTGAGGTAAGTAAATTATCTCAGATCATCAAACAAAGATCTTAACTAGTGGACATCTAACTATAAACAATGATGTAGTTTGAGAAGGCAAAGAACAAAAGAAAGTTTATCTCTGTGGCTTACTGCCTAACATAGGTCTTTTTCATGATCAGATTTGAGATCAGACTGAAGTTACAGCAACAGTCTTTGAATTTATTTTTCGAAAATACCTTACTCAATGCTTTACATGCTTCTGATAGAAAAGCAAGAGTGTTTTACTCTGTAAATGTACTGATTTTTTTTTTAGGTCTTTTAAATCTCTTTTGATATAAATTGTGTTGAATTTCCAAGTATTTTCTTCCTTTTATTCTATCTTGAGGAATCACTTTGATTTTAAAATCTCTGAAATATTTAAAATTATACCCATATCCTTTTTGGAAGATCTGACCATTACAATGTCATCTGCCATGATATTTCTCTCACAAACCACTAGCCACATAAATGGAGGGAAATTTTAGTTGATGAATTAATTCATATATGGTGAACTCTCTGAACTGCAATTTTTTGAAAATTTTATTATATCCTATTCAATTCAACAAACACCTAAGGAATGCTTAAGGAATAAAGAACATTGTGATAAGGTGGTCTAGAGGGTGGTGTAAAGATGGTGAATTTATGGTGCAGACCAGGAAATGAGTTCATTATTCAATTCACAAAATGCTTTTAAAAATCAACATATTTGGGTTGGAGTTGTGGCTTAGTGGTAGAGCGCTTGCCTAATACGTGCAAGGCACTGGATTTGATCTTCAGTACCACATAAGAAAAAATAAATAAAGTTTAAAAATATCAGCATATTTATAAAATTCAGAACAAAGGCAGTAGAAAAAGCTGTAGGTATGTGTGTAGCTATTTATAATCTTATTTTTTTAAATTAGCATATAGATTAGTCCTAAATGAGAAACAGTTGAGTAAAATATAGGAAGGCTGAAAGAGAACCTGGCTAGAGGCTACACTCATTCAAATTATTTTATTTTATTTAGGACGATAATATGGATTCAAAATCCATTCTAGAAGAACTTCTTCTCAAAAGGTCACAGCAAAAGAAGAAAATGTCACCAAATAATTACAAAGAGCGGCTTTTTGTTTTGACTAAAACAAACCTTTCTTACTATGAATACGACAAAATGGTGAGACTCTATTCCATTGTTTTTATACTGTTTATTATTTTTCCTAAGTCTCCACAAAGTACTTGATTACAGTGAAAGAATATCAGGTTTCTCAGCTTGTGCAGTAAAGATCAACTGGTATCCACTGATTACACTGCCCTTCCTTAACCAAAGTGTGATGAATTCAAAATGAAGGGTTTTAAATTTTTTTTTTATTTTGGGATAAAAAGCAAGAGTGTTTTTATTTTGTACATGTTGTTTAACTTTACTAAAGCAAATTTAACTTTATAAGCTCCGTGTGGTGGGGCATACCTGTAATCCTAGTAACTTGGGAGGCCGAGGCAGGAGGATCACAAGTTAAAAGCCAGCCTGAGCAACTTAGCAAGACCCTGTCTCAAAATAAAAAGGGCTGGGGATGTGGAGATGTGGCTCAATGGTTAAGGCCTCTGGGTTCAATCTCTGGTACCAAAAAACAAAACAACAACAAAAAAGATGACTTTAGAATAGTAGTTCTCAACTGAAGGCATTTTTGCTTCCCAGGGAACACTGGGTAACTACTGGAGATATTTCCAGTTGTCACAACTAGTTATGGGGCAAGTACTACTGGCATCCAGTGAGTGAATTCCAGGATGCTACTAAATATCCTACAATACGTAGGACAGGCCCCATAGCAAAGATCTCACCAGCCCCAAATATTAATAGTGTTGAAGATCAGAAATGCAGCTTTAAAACAACACTGGATAAACAAATATCTCTGTTCAGGTGAGAATTTTAACTTTGTAAAAACACACTAAATACTGTCATAAAATTGAAATGAAGTGAAGAAGCTTTAGGGAATTAAATTTCTTGATTTTCCTGAGTGTATTAACCACATGGCAGGTGATTTGAAACACATTTTATGATTCTCCCTTTTCTTTTGGAACTGGGGGGTCAAACCCAATTTTATGATTCTCAAACAAAATTTTAACTAGTACTTAAACACTTGCTTTTGGAGTATGTGTGTGTTTACACTTGACTACTCTAGAGAAAGGGAAGTGATTCTCCATTGATCATACCATCTCCAAATCTCTCTCCCAATCATAACTTTAGCTTTATGCTTTTCCCTATGTACCATGGCGTATCACATGAGAAATCTAATATTTTGTGTTTTAATTCAGAAAAGAGGCAGTAGAAAAGGATCAATTGAAATTAAGAAAATCAGATGTGTGGAGAAAGTCAATCTCGAGGAGCAAACACCAGTGGAGAGACAGTACCCATTTCAGGTAAAACAAGGCACAACATCACCTCGAGTAGTTGATTCTTCACTTTGACATTTTCTATCATGAACTCAGTATATCTAGACAAATAACAATATTGCAAAACGCTTTGTTAAGAGAATGATGACTTGGAATATTCCCGAATGGGAGTTGCACATTTTGCTAAAATTCTGACTACCAATCTACATCCCTGGAGGGAAGGGAAGCAAGATGAGAGTATAAACTGCAATGGCCTGACCTGTCTCAGCTCTGACAATTTCTGTTATCAAACATTGCTGAGTGTCTCTGCTGGGTTCCAGGTAATAGAAACATTATACAGAATAAAATATTCACCCTGCCCCAAGGTAATTTACAAGGACGTAGCAAAATAGACTAACAAACAAGTGGTAAGACGGAGGTCAGCATAGTATATCCACTGTGCTCCAGGAAGCGGAAGCTAGCTTTGCTGCTCACGCCAAGATGTCAGGTTAGGAAGGACAAATAAGAGTTTAAGCCAGCACAGAAAGGAAAGGCAGCAGAACAAAAGACCAGGAGTGTCAAGGCACTGATGTGTGAGATAGGAGTCACTCTGAAAAAGAAGCCTCATGAGAGAGACAGAGATGATCCAGGAGAGGTGGACAGGGCAGAATCATGAAGGACTTTGCACATCATTCTAAGAAATTTTAATTTTACCTTGAAGTATGGTATACTACGGAGAGTATCCTTTCAGTACCTTTTGGAAGTGGCTTGATTTAAGTCATGCCCCACTTTTATTATATAATCAACACTTCTTTCTGATTTAAAGACAGATGGGTTGTTTTTCTTTTTTTTTTAAACATATTTTTTTTTTAGTTGTAGATGGACACAATATCTTTGTTTTATTTATTTATTTTATGTGGTGCTGAGGATCTAACCCAGTGCCTCATGCATACAAGGCAAGCGCTCAGCCACTGAGCTACAATCCCAGCCCTGGATGGATTGTCTTTCAGATGGCCAGATTATCCAGTGCTAGTATTGGGGACCTGTAGTCAAAAATGAAGTACAATAATACAGTTGCTCAACAACCCATATTTCCAAGTATAACTACATTACCCAATTGGGAGAAACCAGGGAAGAGTGTGCTCATGGAAGAGGCTACAAACTCACATCACAGAAGCATAGGGTACTCAAAGGCACACAGACTTTGGAATCCTGCAGAGCTCCTAATCCTACCAGGTGTATAGCTATAAGCACATACTCAACTTTTCTCTGAGTATGTTTTCTCATTTGTTAACAAAAAGGCATACTCATATATTTTTCATAGAATCGAAATAGGATTAAAATATTATAGTACCTAGGAAAGAGCCCAGAAACTAGTAGGTGTTTAATAAATTTATTAAACATTATTATCAAGAATAGAATAAAGTAGAGAGGGATCTTGAGAAAACACTATAATCTTCAAACATTTAAACAAGTTTCTTTAGAAACAAACAAACAAAATAATATTTATTCTGGAGATTTCCAGGGTGCCATACAAAGCAAGACTAAAGTAACAAGTAGACATAGTTTTATTCAATGTAAAGATGAACTGTAAAATGATCAGAATATATGAAGACCGATAGATGACCTGAAAAAAATAAAGAATATTCCATCCTTAGACATATTTTTAAGGATAAAGCAGTTGGTTTTCAATGGGCTGTAAAAGGAATTGATCAATGGGCAAATGGATGGGCCAGAACCCTTGTAAGACACACGTAATGTCTAACATAATTCTCCACGGTCCAGGGCATCCCTACTGAGACCTCAATGCTCACCGCTGTCAGATGCATAATTTCTATGATTTTCCAAAGATTTGAACTGTCTGGGATAAAATAAATTGAAAAGTGGAAGATAAAAACAAACAAAAAGTATAGATTTTTCTCCATCTAATTCCAAAGCTAATAAACAATATATTATATCAAAATGAACCACATTCTTTCCTTTCCAGATTGTCTATAAAGATGGACTTCTCTATGTCTATGCATCAAATGAAGAGAGCCGAAGTCAGTGGTTGAAAGCATTACAAAAAGGTAATAAAAATGTCATATAAAGGAGACTCATGGATTGAATTCTCTTGAGGCTTGGTGGAGGAAAGATAAAGCAGTAAAAGGACCCAATGCCAAGAAATAATCTACTGATTTTCCTACTAACCTCAGGGAATATGCCAGACCCATCCTCCTTTTGCATTCTCATTGTTAACAGACAGGAAGCCTGAGGATCAGACTCCCGCCCCCCATCCTGCTCAGCACAGAGCTCGTTATTGTGTCTTGCCAGCAGCTGGGGAAGCTAAGCCACCTGCTTTCCACCCACTGTGCTTGCCTTTACCAGGGCAAAGTCCAGGTCTTACTGGGACTGTGTAAGTCCTGTAGCTCCTGTATTTTCAATTTTTATAGAAAGTTCCTCTTATTGTCATTATTAGGTGGTGGGAGTGTTGCAGTGCAAACTTTTGGACTGGATTGGAAAAAGAATTAGCTACCCAGGAATCTAAATCCACATAGTAGGAAATCCTAGGAATCTTGACATGTGAGACCAGCAGCTTAGACAGCAGGAAGACAAGTAATGTGCCCAAGAAATTCCAAGGATCCTTTGGAACCAAAATCAGAAAGTTGTGTTTTAGAGTCTTTATTCCTTTTGCTTTCTGTGATTTTTGTAATAATTTTCAGTAATGAAGTTTTTTAATGCCAGCATTTTTAGCTAAACTGAACTGAGTTAAACTAAGGGAATGATTACAAAAGCTGAACACCTATTTTGGGGGCCAAATATTTATATACATTATCTTATATCTTCCCAGTGACTCAGCAAAATATTTATTATTATTATCTCCATACACTTCCTTGAGTAGGTTCTAAAGGAGGAGCAGATCTTCTGAGATTAAAATAAGAAATCCCCCACCTAGCAGTGCTTCTTAAACGAATCTCTATTAAGACCCTGTAAGCTTTTCTGTTGTATTTCAAAAGAGGCTAAATTGTTATAGATTTAGTATTATACACCAAGATTAGAAATTAAATTCTTTGGATAAAATATTGATGTATTCCTATAGTTTTGTTTTTGTTTTTTTTTAATATGTACCTGTTCCATGAAAAGTAGCCCATAAGCCATTCATTAAACATGTCAAAGTCATGAAAGACAAAGGATAAGAAACCATTCTATGTCAAGGGCAACTAGATAACTAAATGTCACATTGACTCTGGAGTGGATCCTTGATCAGAAAAAGTAAGTGACTATAAAGGACATAATTGGAACAGTCAGAAAAATGTTTAAATGTGAAATTCATATTATTAGTAATATTTTATCACTGCTAGATTTCCTGAATGTGATGATTGTATTATGGTTATATAAGAGAACACTCTCTTTTTAATATATATATTTTTAGTTGTAGATGGACACAATACCTTCATTTCATTTGTTTATTTTTATGTGGTGTGAGGATGGAACCCAGTGCCTCACACATGCTAGGCAAGTGCTCTACCACTGAGCCATAACCTCAGCCCCAGAATGCTCTTGTTAATAAAAGTTACACATTGAAGTATCTATGGTTGACATTATTTAGGTCATAATACCTGCTATTCACTCTCAAATTATTAAGCAAAATTTAATAATGATAAAAATTTTAGAAATAATGATATGTATAGAAAGAAAGAAAAAGCAAAATGTTTAACTAATAATTGGTGAATATCTGTTAAGGGTACATGAATGTTTATTATACTATTATAACTTTTCTGTACATTTGAGTGTTTTCAAAATAAAAAGTGAAGGGAAGTGTAAGCTATAAGAATTTTTGTCTCCTTGTTAAGATCTAGTCCTTCCATACTAGATCTATGGATGAATTTCTAAAATTCAACAGCAAGCTGATTTGTATATGCATTTTTACTAGTGTTTTTTAAAGAATGATATGTTATTGTGTTGTTCTCGCTATGCACATAGCTAAACTTTTTTCTTTGTGGTTTATTAACTTCTGAATGAAAGACATATCCTTCAGGAACCACTGGCTCTTACCTCAGTTATTGGCAAATGGAGTTTTTATTGTTCTGCAATGACAGTGCTTGCTGGCTGTGTTTCTCCTCTTGGGCCAACATCTGCTCACATCTTGTTTCCTTTCTACCTGCTCCTCAGAGATAAGGGGCAACCCCCACCTGCTGATCAAGTACCACAGTGGGTTCTTCGTGGATGGGAAGTTCCTGTGCTGCCAGCAGAGTTGCAAAGCGGCCCCAGGATGTACCCTCTGGGAAGCATGTAATGCATGACCCCTTGTTGGACTAAAGCCTGGGTGGATGGCTCCCCCCCATTAGGACCAAATTTCTAGATTCTGGAACACTTTGCCAGGAAACCTCCCATTGTTCAAGACTTCTTACTTGGTGCCTGGCAATTTGGCCTAATTATTAAAGGCATATGATTCAGATTGGGTAATAAACCATATAATCACTTCACTGATAACGCATACAGTGGTTTCATTCTCACAGATTGGGCATCTATTTCCATGTAAGGGTGGAAAAGAAATCAACAAATATCATAAGAACAGAAAGCATGTAATAAATTTATTTATGTATTCATGAATTATTTATTCATATTCAATAATTATTAAAATATCTTGTATGAGCCAATCAAAGAGGAATCGGACAGAAATACTGACCCCTAGGCTCATATGTACTACCTAACCAGATTAGTTATCTGTGACTAAAATATAGGATAGATACGAGGTATAAATTAATAGTTTATAGAATTTAGAGGAACTTGAATTTTCAATCCACATTTGCAAAGTTATCAATAATTGATGATAGAGGAGTGGTGTTTGAGTTGGGCATCATACAGGAAAGCTACAGAATTATTCCAGATGTTGTGTTTGAATTCAGTGAGTCTGGAGTATTGTTCACACAATCTGTTTCATTCTCTTAATTCTTTTTAAAAATTATTTATTTATTTATTTATTTATGTTTTTGGTACCAGGGATTGAACTCAGGGGCGCTCAGCCACTGAGCCCCATCCCCAGCCCTATTTTGTATTTTATTCAGACAAGGTCTCACTGAGTTGCTTAGCGCCTTGCATTTGCTGAGGCTGGCTTTGAACTCTTGATCCTTCAGTCTCAGCCTCCTGAGCCACTGGGATTACAGGCGTGTGCCACTGTGCCCGGCTCCTTCTCTTACTTCTTCTTCTTCTTTTTTTTTTTTTTTAATATTTTTTAGTTGTCAATGGATCTTTTATTTTATTTATTTATTTATATGTGGTGCTGAGCATGGAACCCAGGGCCTCACGCATGCCAAGCAAGTGCTCTACTGCTGAGCTACAACTAGTTCTTAACATTAGTTCTTAACATTAGTTAGTTAAGAGCCCATTAGTTCTTAACATTCTCTTGTTTTGTTTTTGTTTTATTTCACATTTCTTCTGATAATACTTGGTTTTACATTTCAGATGCTGATCTGCACATTGCCATCAATGAAGAGAAACACAGAACTCCCTTTTTCCCAGACAGGGTGGTAAGTCAATGTTTTTCTTTGTTTGTTTGTTTGTTTTAATGTTTTTCATTCTCAGGATATATTAAATGAATGAAGAGTTGCCAGATTCAAGACCAGAAAATGTAGACTTCATGCAGACCACTTAGCAAAGAGAGGAAAAATGTGAGCAATCACTACTACTTATGGGTGGTATCAAAATGGATTCAAATAGAACCATTGTAACATTTTATATTTTTGTATTAACCACTAGGTCTTTTCCTAACCAGTAAACCTATAAATAGTGACACACACACAAAAAGGGTGAATGGGAGAGAAGTACTTAAGATGGTGTCACATGTAACCAGCAATTATTAATATCGATCATTGTTTCCCTACCACCAGCATTGCCAACACTGACTCCTGGAGATATCCCAGTGACGGAATGAGACACAAGCATAAAACAACATCATTTTTCCCTCCGTGATTCCTCCAAAGCTGCCAGAAAAAGTCTTAGGCAGATTCCATAGTTTTCATTCACTTTCAGATGATGTTTTGCCCTAATTGCTAGTAGTCACAAGAACAGCCTCTGAATTGTCCCATCCAATGTTATAATCACATGACTCCAAACATTATTTTGAGTTACACCTTCACCACTTTACCTAACTTGAGTTGGCATCAGCTGGCAGCTTGCTTTGGAGGAAGGGTCATAGAGAGGCTAAGATTTCTTCTGACCCTTTCAGGGTTAAAGCCAAAGGGGATCTAGTGAAAAAGAGATGCTCCTACATAGCTGGTCCTATCGTGATTAGGTATCGGTAGCACCTGAGTGAGCTTCCTAATGCTTATTCTTGGTCTTATGTGAGAACCATGTGAAGATCTAAATAATTTGAATTTTCAATCCACATTTGCAAAGTTATCAATATTTATGACAGAACAGATGTCTTATCTTTTTTTGTGTGTGTGGTGCTGAGGATTGAATCCAGGGTCTTGTGATGCAAGGCAAGCACTCTACCAACTGAGCTATATCCCCAGCTCCTGAAAGAATAATTTTTGTTATTTTAACCCATCAAATGTGCAGTGATTTGTTATGGCAGCCAAAGGAAACAATTATTATGGTTTGGAGTTTTCACTTTGTTATCAGCAACATTGCTGTTTGGATTTGGATACTTGCTCCAGTCCTAAAGCTTAAAAATTATGACCCTTGGGCCAGGGGTGTAGCTCAGTGGTGGAATGCTTATCTAGCATGCACAAAACCCTGGGTTCCATCCCCATCATTACATTAAAATCATGGCCCCAACAGCAATGTCCAGATTCAGCAACTCTATACAGACAGAGGTCAAATAATGGTTGACTAAGGCCAGAGTGGAAATGGAGATTGGCTGTCAGTGCACACAAGGGATTTTAATAGGGTGATGGAAATATACTAAGAACAGATTATGATGGTTATACAACTTGATAAATTTAGTAAGAGTCACATAATTCTTCACTTTAAAAGTGTGAATTCCAATGAAGTTTGTTTTAAACAAATCTAAGAGCAGAAGATAATTAAGAAGTTAGAAACGATTGCATCTCACCTCTGGCAGGAAATTCTTTGGGAAATGTGTTGAAAATTATCAGCCAAGCAAATCAGTGACTAAGGGTTCCTAAGCCTATTCTGATTATAAACTGCCCAAATGAACCAGAGTTCAGAAAGGGTATTGTGAAAAGCATTTTTTTCTCTGTTTTGTTCTTACCAAAGCACTAAATAGAAGACATATTTTCTGAATGGTAGAAATAAAAATCAGCTTGATAGCCATTCTATTCAGATTTCCATTTAAGGAACTTTCCAATGCATTTATCTTTAGAAAGAACCCATTTTATAGCTTATATATATCAGTATCCTGTGTAACAAAAATTTTCCAGAATGTCAAAGCCTCAACTCCAAATAAATGATATACCTGAAAAAAAGGAAAATAAATTTGAAAAAATTAAATTTAGAGCTCACACATGTGTGCTCACATGCTTGTACACACACACACACACACACACTCACAATTTTTTTTAATATTTATTTTTCAGTTTTCGGTGGACACAACATCTTTATTTTATTTTTTATGTGGTGCTGAGGATCGAACCCAGCACCCCGCGCATGCCAAGCGAGCACGCTACCGCTTGAGCCACATCCTCAGCCCCTCACACAATTTTTGATGAAGTATAAAGCACACAGATCCTAAGTGTTCCACTTGATGAATTTTCACAAACTGAACACATCTGTATAAAACACATTCAGATTAAGAAACAGAACATCATAGAACCGTATGTTCCCTTCCAGTCACTATAGCCCATCAAGAGTAATTGCTCTCCTAACTCTCAATATCATAGATTATTTGCCTGGTTTTGACCTTTACATAAGTAGAATCATAAAGTATATAGTCATTTGTTGTCTGTCTTTTGTTCAAGTTATGAGATTCACATTGTTTTAGTGTATGGTTGTAGTTTATTCTTACTGCTTACAGAATTCCATTGTATGACTATGCCACTATATTATTTTGTTATTGCTGCTCTAAGAAATTACCACAAATTCAGTGGCTAAAAGCAACACAAATTTTTTATCTTATAGTTCTGAAGGTCAAAAGTCTAAAATGGTTCCACAGAGCTGTATTCATTCTGGAGACTTTAGGAGAGGATCTATTTTCTTGCCTTTTCCAGCTTTTGAAGGTTATCTATATTCTTTGGTTCCTGGTTTCTCCCTTCATCTTAAGAGTCAAGAGGGTAGTAGCCTCTCTGTTCTTTGACCTCTGCTTCCATGCTCATATCTTCTCTCTAATCCCTGACCATCTTCCCTTTTAAAAGGGTCCCTTTGATGACATCAGTCCCATATCTATAATCCAGAATAATGTCTCCACCTCAAATTCCTTAATCACAATCTTCAAAATCCTTTGTATTATGTAAGATAATCACAGCATCTGGGAATTAGGACATGATCATATTGGGGAGCTATTACTTAATCTTCTGCAACCAGTGTATTTACTATTTTATCCTCTTAATGAACACTTCAGTAATTTCCAATTTTTATCTAATTCAAAATATTCTACTATGAATGTTGTTTTCCACATCTTTCTGTTTCACTATTTTATATATATATATATATATATATATATATATGTGTGTGTGTGTGTGTGTGTGTGTGTGTGTGTGTGTAATCTCTGGTTCATAGAGTGTGTCTGTGTGTGTATAATTTCTGGGTCATAGAGTATATGTGCATGTATGTGTGTGTGCATGCCCATAATTGCTGGGTCATAGAGTATATGCACATCCATCTTTAGTGCATTCAGCAAATAAGTTTCCAATGTGTTTTTACCACTTTATACTCCAACCAGCAAAAGTATACGTTACGGTCGCTCCATATCCTTAACAATACTTACTATGCCCCTCTTCCTCCCTTCCTCCCCTCTTTCCTTCTAATTTAAGAGCTGATATACTTTAGTTGTTAGTTCCTAGTTCCTGAATCTGTGCCTCACCACGATGTAGTAAAATCTCCTGTTCTTCAAAGCTAAAGATTCCTCGGGCAGTTCCTATTCTCAAAATGGATGCACCGTCTTCAAGTATTACTCTACCTCAATATGACGTTGATGCAAAGAAAAACTTCAGTTCCCAGCCAAATGTCAACATGCGATATATTCCAAGGGAAGACTGCCCTGACTGGTGGCAAGTAAGAAAACTGAAAAGGTAAACCTCAGCTTTTGGGCTGTCTGCTCAGCATGTAGATAATGTCCCCATGATCCCACTGCCTTGGACCTCACCCTCAAAACCGTTGATACAGGCTTTAGCTGAGATAGGGCTGTCTACTCAGAAAATGTTCAGTACTTGAACTAGAAAACTGGGGAAGCGTGTGGTTCTTCTGGGATTGAGCAGCATAGACTTGCCGTTTATATTATCTTATTTAATGTTTTAAGTGATATTTAAGCATTTGATTCCCTTCTGTTCCCACTTCTTCCAAAGAACTGCACATTTCACACACAGAATCTTTAAAATATGTTCTCTATATGAAAGATGGCTTAGAAGGAGCTTACTTGATTAGTCTTTTCAAGCTTTTCAGCCTAAAGTTTCTATCTAAATACCTTGAAGGTATATAAATTGTATATATCTCCAGGGTCTGGCACTGCGTCTGGACCAATTTGATGCTCAATAAATATTAAATTAAATCATAAGATGATCATGGAGAAAGGGTCATGCAATTTCTCTGTTTTTGTTTTTGATGAGTTAACATCAGATTATTTATTTTGCTTACACAAAATAAGGACAAGGGAACTTCATTATTTCGCCAGTTGAGAATGGCTGTTCTCCCTCCAATCCAGATTTCTCTTGGAGGACCAGATGTGTCAGCTTGGTTTGAATGACTCCATGTTTTGTTTTGTTTTTTTTTCCCCTGGAATATTGTCTCGTTGAAAAACTGGCTTCACAAAGAAGGTGGCAGCAGGAAAATTTCAGAATCCAAAGCTTAAAAATAAGTCTTGGGCAGTGTGGGGTTATTTTCTGTCTCTGGGGGGGATCATCCAGTGTCCGAGGCCTGGGGACAGAGGGAAAGTCCCCAGCCACCCATCTAGGAGATGTCACTCTCAGTAGCGTCTGGTGTCCTGACCTGTGCTTGCCCAGGATGATGGTGGGTAAGGAGCAGCAGGTCACAGGGGTCCCCTACCCTCTGGGAGACAGAGCTCTCCCTGGGCGGACCCCGGGGCTGAGGGTCAGCAGCCAGGGGAGAATCAATGACTGTCTCTGCCTGTGGTCCCTGAGGTCCTGGGGCAGGGATGCAGGAAGCAGCCAATGTCACAAGATGTCCCCGTCCCCAGCCAGGCTGGGTGCCTGGCTAAGCCAGGAGAAAGACGGTGTCCCTCCTCAGGGTCTGGCCCCTGCCCCTGGTCTCACTTCCTCCCCGGCACTTCCTGGAAGGGGAGGAAGTGACACCCAGGGGAAGGCCAGGAAGTGAGGCCACCGTCACATTCAAGTTCAAGGTGTGACAGCTCAGTCTGCCTCCCAACAGGCCCCATATTCGGCTCCCCTTCATGGGCCATGTCCCTTCTGAGAGTCACACCCTGCCCTTTATAGGCACAAGGACCTAGAAGTTTCAGGGACCCGTCCATATTTAGGCCCTCGGATCTGGAAGTTCCTCGGGCATCCATGTTTAGGCCCCCAGACCTCAGGGGCACGTCCATGTTTAGGCCCCTGAATCCGGAAGTTCCTCGGGTGCACATCCATGTTTAGGCCACCGGATCCGGAAGTTCCTCAGGCGCACGTTCATGTTTAAGGCCCAGGATCCGGAAGTTCGTCGGGTGCACATCCATGTTTAAGGTTCTGGGTCGGAAGTTCTTGTTTTTGTTTTTAAAGAAACTTAAATTTTTTTTTTTTTTTTTTTTTTTTTTTTGGTACTCAGGGGCACTCGACCACTGAGCCCCATCCCCAGCCCTATTTTGTATTTTATTTAGAGACAGGGTCTCAACTCAGTTGCTTAGCACCTCACTTTTGCTGAGGCTGGCTTTGAACTTACAATTCTCCTGTCTCAGCCTCCCAAGCTGCTGGAATCACAGGCATGCACCACCACACCTAGCCATGACTTCCCTTTCTTATTTGCTGCTTCAGACTTCCTCCCCATCACATTGTCCACTGCCTGCCATCTTTTCATCCAGTTGTGAGCCTCCATACAGGGTACCCATGTCTGTCTTTCCCCACAGTGATGCAGATAATCTCTCTGACTTATCTTTGTCTCTTTGTTTTCTCCCTTGTCTTCTTATTCCTCTATTCTTTCCATGCTCATTATTTTTTATCTAAAGCAAATGTCTCACTGTACCAATGATGCAGCCACAAGGCCATATGGAATTTGAAAATCTGTAAGTGGATTCTTCTAGTTTGTTGTTGTTGTTTTGTTTTTTAAATATAATAAGCTGCGGTCCCTTTCATTTTAAAGTGGAACTAGTATCCAAGTGTATTAATCCATACCTGGTACCTGAGGGAAAAGGCTGCATTTATTTGCTTGTAGCCCAATGTTCCTATAGAAGGAGATGATCAACAAGCCCAGATCCAAGGACAGTGAATGTCATGTTAAGTTTTTCCAGGTCACCTCCCTGATAGAAGGCTCAGTGATTTCCTGAGGGAGGTATGTGGTGAAAATGACTGTACAATTTTCACATTTTCATAAATTGCCAGATCCTATCTGCATTTCAAAAGTTGACATTTTGTTCAAAGGTTTTTTTTAGCATTAATTAATATTTCAATAAAGAACTATTTATCTTGAATACTAAGTTTTTGACATGTACCCTTACATTTTGAACCACCTTTAATTCTGACCCTGGATTTGCCCTAGACCTTCAGAAAGCTAATTTTTTATACAAAGGATTGGTCACTCACATCTTAGCATGGGCTACATTACATCTATGAGTGAATTAGAATACTTTAATACTTGTTAAAAGGTCTTCATGGAGCTTGAATTTTTAAAATTCAAATGTATATTCCTCTAAGTGTTTTCTGTGTACATGCTAAAATATGTATATCTTATAATTATTATATATATTTTAAAATATATATATATATGAGCAGATTCCCACTGCTCAGTCTTCTTTGCCCTTTGTTCTTTTTTTAAAAAAATATTTTTTAATTGTAGATGGACACAATATGTTTATTTTATTTATTTATTTATATGTGGTGCTGAGCATCGAACCTAGTGCCTCACACATGCTAGGCAAGTGCTCTGCCACTGATCCACAACCCCAGCCCCTGCCCTTTGTTCTTTTCACTTGACATCTGACATTTTTTTCCCATCTGAACACATGAAGATATACTTAATTTTTAAATTTTATTTCAATTTTTAATTGTGGTAAAATACACATTTATCACAATCAGTCATTTTTTACATGCATAGTTCAGTAGTGTTCAGTACATTCACATTGTTGGAAATCTACCTGATTATTTTTAATGTCTATAAAGTACTCCTTTATATGGATAAACCAAAGTGATGTACTATTGATTGCTACTCTACACAAACTCTTCAAAACAAGAAGTCTAAATAAATTGCTTACCCTTTATATTTTTTATTTATATTTATTTTTTAGTTGTAGGTGGACACACAATATCTTTATTTCATTTTTATGTGGTGCTGAGGATTGAACCCAGTGCCTCATGGGTGCTAGGCGAGCACTCTACTACTGAGCCACAACCCCAGCCCTGCCTAGCCTTTTTAAATAAAGACTTTTCTTATGAAGAGTTAAAGCTGAAAGGTCATTCTGGTGGGCCAGGTTCTGTGGGAAGGTGGGAGGGAGGCATTGCAGTGTTTAAGGGCTTTCTCTAGACATTCTTTGAGATGGAGCCAGAAGAGCATTTCCTTGCCAATGAAATGTGGTTTTGAAAAAGAGCCTGGTCTATGAAAGCAAACAGGAAATAGGTCCTACATTCCAGATAAAACAGTGTTGGGGCTTTGGGAGGAAGGCACTTCCTCAGTCTCACCCAAATTGAAGAGATAAAATGATGGGTGGTAGAGGATGAAAATCCTGTTTATCCATTTATGTCCACATAGAGTTCACAGTTTAGCATTTTGAAGACTTTTGATTATAATCATGACAACAAAGAGGAGAATAGCTTATTTTAAATATATAAGTGACAGAATGCTTACATATCCATAAGAAAATCAGAGCAAACCTAGGTCAAATGATTTATTAATCCAGGTTTGTTATTATTTGGGGTCATTATAAGCCATTATTATATAGGCACATTGCCAAGCTACTGCTTCTTATTGAAGTCCCTGAAAAGACCACTGGGAAAATAATTAGTTAGCTTAAGTTTCCAAACCAAATGAAATGTGTGGGTCTAAATGTCAAGTAAAGCTAAATCATATTTGAACAGAATTACTTTTGTCATTTAAGATGTATAAGTATGCATAAATTTATAAACTTATGAAACATCTTTTGCAGCAGTGAAGATGTTGCATGCAGTTATCAGATGGAAAGAAATATTGTAAATCACAGCACCTCAAAGATATCATGGTAAATCAAATGTAGATATTAATTTATATCCAGGATTGGCTTCCATTTGTAGGAAAGCTAACCAAATTTGCAATAATTTTGCAACTAGGCTTTATGTATAAGATGAAGATAAATCAGAAATGTCCATGTAGTTTGTCTCTCTGAACTCTTAGGTGGGTCTGAATCCATGGTTTGTGGGTTACAGTTCTCACACTGATTTCTCCTAGCCAATCTTCATGACATACTCTGGTGTTAGCATGAACATTAATCTAGCTGATTCAGGCATCTCTAGCAGGAGGGAAACCAACCTGGAATTGATTTACTCTTCCCTAAGAATAGCTCAAGACGCAGCCCAAATTGTTTTTTAACTTCATATTATCCCCTGAAGGGGATGTATTTCATGAGCTCACTATTTTGAAAAAAATCAAAGCATGTTATATGGAAATATCACAATGAAACCCATGAATTTGAATTTGTACAATTAATTTTTACTAATAATTATAGTTTAAAAAGGAGAGAATTTTTTTTTTGGTGGTGGGGATTGAACCCAAGGCCTTGTGCCTGTGAGGCAAGCACTCTACTATCTGACCTATATCAGAAGGCTGAGATAGGAGGATTGTGAGTTCAAAGCCAGCCTCAGCAACTTAGCAAGGTGCTAAGCAACTCAGTGAAACCCTTTCTCTAAATAAAATACAAAATAAGGGCTGGGGATGTAGCTCAGGGGTCAAGTGCCTGTGAGTTCAATCTCTGGTACCAAAAAAAAAAAAAAAAAAAAAAAAAAAGAGAGAGAGAGAGAGAATGAAAGACATCTATATTCCTAGGGGGCTTTCTACACTAAAGAGCCATTTTATCATTAAACTGAGCATAAGCCCAACTTTTGAGTGACTGTCTCTTCACTTTGCTGATACCCTCCTTAGTGCAAAAATGAATCCTTAATAGTCTAGATTTTATTTATGTGGATTGAAGAAGAGTGGGGTCTAATATTGTATTACTGGCACTTTGATTGTTTCCTGATGATTTTTTTTTTTCATTCATGTTGTTCCTTGACTCTTGTTAAGGGGGTTCCCTGAGTCAAGTTCATCTGAAGAAGAAGAAAACCTGGATGATTATGAGTGAGTATTGAAAGTCTTCTGTGCTCCTCTAAGATTAGGCATAGATGTTTCTATTTGATTCCTCAAAGGCATTAAAACAGATGGCTCAGACTTTCTCAGGAGGCTGTGTTTACATGGGTAAGCTCATGTGGGTTCTAAATGACAGGTGGCAATGAGCTAGGTTATTATCAATGATGATATTTCCCCCAATCTAGGCTTTCTAAATTGGCTGCACATTTTCAATGGATTTGTCATTATCCAGTGTTCCCCTTCATTTCACTTGGTCTTTATAAATAGAGCATATGATGTTTCTGTTCATTTTTTTCCCTGAAAGGCCTTTCTTCAGGCCTTATTAACGTTGAATTGGTGATTTTACAAGGTAGCAGCATCCTGAGAACTTGAACATGGCAGCATTTCTGTTGAGAGATTCCTATTATCAGGGTGACCTTATCATTTAGTACCAAAATTGAAATGCTTTAGAGAGAGAGAAAAATTTCACTAAACATCTGGCATAAACTGGATTATTCTAGGCAAATAAGAAAGTGTAGCCATCCTAATTATATTGAGTTTCATTGATTTAAGTGGCCATTAAGGTTCTCTCCAAAAAATAGGGTTCTAGCATTCTACAAATAGCAACATATAATTGTTCTCTAAACAATAAAGATTGATGTTAAGGAAAGATGGGAGTAATAGAGCATCTTGCATTTTTTACACACTTTATGCCCCAAATTATAAAATTTGTGTGGACACTAGACTATGCATATTTCTAGTTCTGTTTTCATATGAGGGTTGTCATTGATTCATTGGTTACACGTGAAAGCGAGAGCTTTTACAAAGTATATGTCACTGTTTGCACTCTTCCTCTTAAACTCTAACCCAGCCTGGTCCTGGGTGTGCCTGTCACACCAGGGTAGATGTGCTGTAATCTCTATCCCTTTGCAGTATGATCTCTTCCCCACATTCCAGCTCTCTTTTAGCCCCACTTTCTGCCCTCATATCTACCCTCAGGAAAGCATCTGGTATCATAATTTATATTAAGACATGCAAGACTGAGAAGGACCAACACAACCCTTCCCGTCCATTCCCATCCTCCTCACGTACTTCTTTCTGCCTCAGATACGCTGCTGTAGCCAGGGGGTCCTCTCAATCCTTCAAACCTACACCCCATCCCAATCATACTCTACTCAGTTTGTTATTAGTACATTGTTATTAGTACAAAGCCAAAGGCCACAGACATTGTTGACTCCACATGAGAAACAGCTCTTTGCCTGTTGAGCTCTGTATACAATGTAGGACATGATGTTCTTGGCTAATTTAGTAAAAAGGGTGATATTTAAAGGTTATTTTCAAAGAAAAGAACTACTCCTGTCTTCCCTATATCATCTTTTTCTCAGTTTCATCTCACTAAACCAGCCCTAATATAATCTTAGATGCTTATCTATGGCTATCCTGAATTTTTTTTTAAATTTTAAAAAAGCATTTGCTTTGACCATAGATGATATATAGTGTGTTTCTTTCAGATTATTAAAAGAAAATGATGGAGTTGAAAGACAAGAGCATTTATCCTTGGCAATTCTGAATTTTATATTGGAAGAGTCTTCATTGGTCTAATCTCTGGCCCTCTTGCCAAATGGTGACATGAAGGATAACTTACAAAACAGGTCACCTAGAAGGAAGCCAGAGGTTCCTGAACACCAGCCCATTTAAAACTTCAGATGTTCAGGCTCTGCCCTAGAATCAGAATTGGGTGGTAGAGTCTCAAGGATCTATATATATTTTTTTCAAGGATCTATATTTTTGAAAATATCTTCTGGTGATTCTTTTGGAGTCAGGTTTTAAAACCCCTGATGTGTGCCAATGCCTCATTTTATTTTAAAAATTTGAATGCAAGTGATGCAATTTAAAAATTATTAATTCTCAAATATGGAATCCTTTCCTCTTACAGTTGGTTTGCAGGTAACATCTCCAGGTCACAATCTGAGCAGTTACTGAGACAAAAGGTAAGTGGTATTCTTTAAAACAGCCCTAAAATCTCTTTCTCTTTTTAAAAACTATTTATTTATTTATTGCACCAGGCCTCATGCATCTAAGTACACACTCTATCACTGAGCTACATTCTCAGTCTAGAAATTTCTTTGTATTAGTGGGCCCAGAGGTTAATCCAATTCTCATAGAAATATTGCTAAGGATATAGTCAACTCATCATAGTGTTGGTTGTCCAGCCTTTGGGTTACCAGGCCCTTGATGTCCAACCATATTTTCTCTTCCATTTTCTATTGCTGCACAATAAACCACCCCAAATTTTGGTGGCTTGAAACAAGATTTTTGATTCCTCATAGTTCTGAGTCAGTTGGCCCAGATGTACATTTTACGTAGGCTCACTCTTGTGGCTGCATTTAATTGGTGGATTGACTGGGGGTGGAATTCAGCTGAGGCAGTCAACTGAGGCACCATAGTTCTTCCTCTCCATGTGCCTAACCTGGGCCTCCTCACAGAACGGCAGTGGTAAAACAGGACATAGTACAAGCACTTATGAAGTTGCTGCTGTTGTCATGTTTCTTGATGTCCTGCCCAAAGTCAATGTAGGAAGATACTGCACAGGACCATGAATAAGAGAGATGATTTATTTTGTTTTGTCTGATTTTTGCAGTACAGAGGATAGGACCCTGAGCCTTATGAATGCTAGGCAAGTGCTCTACCACTGAGCTACACACCCAGCCCAAGAGAAATAATTTATTGAGGACCATCAGTGTAACCATTTACTTCAGGTCTGTCACCACTCATTAGCATCTAAATTCCCTATTACAGCAGATGTAATAGGGAATACATTTATCTGATTTTATCACCAATTGATATGGAATTACCAATAGCAACCTCTTTTATCTATAAAAATGATATTTTGATATAATTTAACCTAATAAAATAGTGAACATACCAAATATTTCTTTGAGAGGTACTTGAGAGAATCTGATGACTTCACTTGGTGCTTTGTCACATTCGTAGTTTATCATCTGCTTTTTCTGAATCTGGATCTGCTTACAATTAGCACAAGTCATTGAGAAAGACAAGTCAGATGTAAAAGTTTAACAATGATTTATTCTGCATGCAACTTTGGTTTTCTAAAACCTTCCAAGGACATAACATGGTGATATGTGGTTCTAAATTTTATTTGTAAGCATAAAAAACATTAGGCTTGCATAAGTATGAAGAAAAAAAAAAGCAGCTAGAGTTAAAAATTAACTGGAGAGAAAGAGTTGAAACACACCGAATAGATTTTTAAAGATATTGATTGCGGGGGGGTGGGGGGGCTGTGGCTGTGGCTCAGAAGTATTCCCTATTACATCTCTCTTTGCCTTAAAAAAAAAAAGATATTGAGTGGGCTGGATGTTGAGTATTATCACACTGGCCTACCATGTGCAAGGCCCTGGGTTCCAACCTCAGTACAGAAAAAGGAAAAAAAAAAAGATATTGAGAAAAGTAGGAAAGTAAAACTGTGGGACCCCTTCTATGCTAACTATTGGATAATCTGGACCCTCAGTGACATTTAAAGTGAATCTAAAAGATTTCTTTTCCTACTGCTTATGTGAAAAATCATTGTCAAGAACTATAAAGGGGGGCTGGGGATGTAGCTCAGTTGGTAGAGTGCTTGCCTCCCATGCACAAGGCACCACACACACATACACACACACACACAAAAAAAAAAAAAACTATAAAAATAATCCTTCCTTTTCAGGGAAAAGAAGGTGCATTTATGGTTAGAAATTCCAGCCAGGTGGGAATGTACACGGTGTCCTTATTTAGTAAGGCTGTGAAGTAAGTATGATATAGATTTATTTCTCTTATCCTTCTGCATATGTTCTTTGAATAGGCTGATCAGTTTGTCACATTTTAAGGTAAGACACCATCTATAAATTCTGAAATTTGGGGTCAAAGTATTTTTATTGAATGTGACCATTTGTAGTTGTCTTTTTTTTTATTTAAATATTTTTTAGTTGATGAAGGACCTTTATTTTGTTTATTTTTATGTGGTGCTGAGAATCAAACCCAATGCCTCACATATGCTAGGCAAGCACTCTACCACTGAGCCACCACCCCAGCCCTGTTGTTGTCTTTTTACCCCCACTTTCAAGAGACTGTTCTCTGAGTGACCTCCTCACTCCCACCCTAGACAATGGCAGAGTGCCCAGAGAACAACATGCCTCAGTAAATATTTATTAAAAGACTCAGAGGTGGTGACAGAATTAGAACAAATTATATTTCATGTGTCTATAATTATGTCAAAATAAATTATATTGTCATGTATAACTAAAAAGAACCAATTAAAAAAAAAGAGGTTCATGGGTGATTGCCTTTAGCTCAGGCCTAAGCTTAGAAAGAAAAAAATACACAATGGCAGCCCCACACTCTCAGCCCTAGCCACCTGCTGAGCTAGGAAAGCTACCCCAGTGTTCAGTTTTAAGTAAGCTTTTCTAATGAATCCAGTGCCTCATGCATGCTAGGTAAGCGCTCTACCTCTGAGCCACAACCCCAACCCATGTGTGGGATCCTTTTTTAACAGCTGAATTGAATGACCATTGGCCTCGGTGCTCTTCCTGGGTGCTCTACTCCACAGTGCTTACCTGTGTACTTATGATAATAAAGTGATAAAAAGTATTTTGAGAATTTTTTTTTACAGAGTACTTATGTCCAATTGAGATAATAGGGTGTATCCTGAGTGACCACATGGCGTTTTCCAATGCCAGAAGTCATATCCGCAGTGTAGCTCCTATACTAGGATGCACACGATGTCAACTAAAACCAATGCAGTTAGTTAGAAGTGGGAGAAGACTGTGTTCACTGAGTGACCTCTGTGGCCCTCTGGCCTGGCAGTTTGGGCCAAATCTAATATCAGATGTTCTCCTATTCAAGCTTCTGAACTCCAGATTCATTTTTGAAGGGGGCCAGGTAGACAAATTAGCAAATAGATAAGAAATCAAATGAAAATAATCATGATCCATGAATATAGAAGCCTTCTTTATGAAACCTTGTCAGTGCACTTGAGGGAATTTCACGCTAACACCAAGACCAGATTAGCCACTTGCAACAAAAAGGAGCACCCTTTTCTCCTTTTTATAATTGCAATTTTAAATAGGTTGGCATTCTAACAGCAATAACTCATTAACTGCTTCTTGTGGGTCATACACACACACACACACACACACAACCTCATCCAACACTAGACAACAACTAGAGGAAGTAGCTAGCAAGTGTTAGAACCAGATTAACAACCTGGTACTTGACCACAGTGCCATACTCTAAAATCTAAGACAATCATATTATTCCTGATTAGCCTAAATCAATGTGCATCAATTATCTATGATTTCTAAAAGGAGAGAAAAAGAAAAAAAATGTTTTATATAGAAAAGGTACTGGGATTGTAGCTCAGTGGTGGAGCGCTTGCCTCGTAAGCATTGGGCACTGGGTTCAATCCTCAGCACCACATATAAATAAAATAAAGGTATTGTATCCGCCTACAACTAAAAATTAACAACAACAAAAAAGAATCAGGGCTTGTTGGATAAGGATGACTGTTAATCTTTCCTCCCTTCAGTCCATCAGAGCAGAATAAATATATATATATAAAAGAAAAGGTATTAGTTTATATGAGGAATTAAAGGACATCTCCACCCACTCCATCCTATGTGCCTTACTCCCCAAATAATCTCCCATCCATGCTCTGGGGTGAGAAGACCCACAACCTAATCATCTTTGTCTCCCGGATTTTCATTTCTATTATTATCCTGAAAGAGAATTTATGCTCAGAAATGACCCTAAAGAACTGCAAGGCTCTTAATGATCAAAGAAATATTCTATTTTTATATTTACTATGGGAAGAACAGTCTGAAAAGTTGGAATTTAATTAGTCATGAATTTTGTATGTGTACAAAGGATACATTGAGTTCAGAGAGCAGCCCTCTTCCATAATTACTGTCATGGATACCTTTGGAAAAACACCAGATGTCAGGACTGAGAAATCCACCCTGACTTCCTCTCCAAAATTTGCAAATGCATCCAAAATAATTATTTAACCACCATTTAATCAAGCCTCAATTGTTTGTTTGAAGTGTTGTAACAATCTTTTTTCCTTACTAGTGATAAAAAAGGAACTGTCAAACATTACCACGTGCATACAAATGCTGAAAATAAATTATACCTGGCAGAAAACTACTGTTTTGATTCCATACCAAAGCTTATTCATTATCATCAACACAATTCAGCAGGTAATTTACCTTTTATGGGTCCTTGTGGATAAATATCAATTTTCTTGGATACTACTGATCCTCCTAATACTCTTAATTATATAAGGAACCAAGAATGTAGGGGAAAATGCAACGCTTTGCCTACTGTCTTTCACTTACACTTCTTGAAGTATAACAGGATACATGCCATAATGCCGGCAAGAATAAAGTTGAGGGTAGTGTGTAGTGGTGCATGCCTGTAATCCCAGCAGCTCAGGAGGCTGAGGCAGGAGGATCGTGAGTTCAAAGCCAGCCTCAGCAACTTGGCGAGGCTCTAAGCAACTCAGTGAGACTCTGTCTCTAATAAAATACAAAATTGGTCTGGGGATGTGGCTCAGTGGTTGAGTGCCCCTGAGTTCAATCTCTGGTACTGCCCCCCCCCCCCAAAAGAATAAAGTTGAGTGATTTGAGTGACTTAGAAGGATAAATTCTGTTTATAAAAATATTTGTTGGTTTTTGTTCCTTCCTATGGTAGCAAGTTGATTGTAAAATTCAAATATTAAGGAAATACGCATCATAGATAATCCCCATGAACAAATTAGTTTCAATTATGGCAGATGTTTTTATATGCTTACAAACACTTTTATTGATCATAAATATAAATCATATGTATAAACATTGCATTTTTATAGATATAAGATCATTTTCCATGTATTAAGCTTGTATTCATTCTTCACTATGTCTTTCTTTGTAAACACATGTAGCTTATTTTGTTCTATTTAACAGCTTCATAGAATTCTATTGTAGAGTTACCCTATACTTTATTCACATAGCCCTCTATTGATTACCAGTTGGATCATGTCCTATATTTGCACATTCCAATGGATATTTCATTGCACAGAGGTCTCATACTCTTAGTTGACTACTTCTATAGCCAATTCCTAGAAGTGGAATTTATAAGACAAAGGCTAAGAATATTTAAAGCTTGGAAATTGTTGAATGCTTTTCAGGAATGTAAAATCCCACAACAATTTCTCTCTCATCTTCCCCAACATTGGGTACTATTATTCATTTATAATTTTGCCTAATGGACTGGAGATTAAATATAAATAAGATGGAATGTGTATGTGTGTGTGTGTGTGTGTGTGTGTGTATGTATGTGTGTATCCCCTCTGTTTTCTAGAATAGTACCACTTAAGGATAGTGACTAGGAAATTTCCAACTATAAGTGCGTAACAATAAACCATGGGCTCAGCATTGGATTTGTATTGCTGCATCTGACTTGGTTACATGATTAATAACCAAAATTAAAGCTAGAAGTAAATTTCTAGCTTTAATTTTGGTTATTATTTGCAATTTTCTTTTATCCAAATTTCTTATTTCAACTTGTAGTACCTCAAAAGTATCTTCTGAGAAAGGTATTATGTAAACAGACATTTTTAAATGAATGATTCCACCTATAGGATACACAAGAAACTTTATAGGGGATAGGAAGAAGAGATTAAAATGTTTATTTAGAGTTTTTTTTAAGTCTCACTTTCTTAAGTTTTCTATTAATGTATTGTATGATTCACAGATAAGTGGATAAAGAAAATGTGGTAGATAAGCTGGGTGTGGTGGTACATGCCTGTAATCCCAGTGACTTGGGAGGCTAAGGCAGGAGAATTGCGAGTTCAAAGCCAGCCTCTGCAAAAATGAGGCCCTAAGCAACTCAGTGAGACCCTGTCTCTAAAGAAAATACAAAATAGGGCTGAGGATGTGGCTCAGTGGTTGAGTGCCCCTGAGTTCAATCCCCAGTACCAAAAAAAAAAAAAAAAAAAAAAACCCCAATAAATAAAAAACAACAACAACAAATGCCCAGAAAAAGGAAGAAAAATGAACTTGGAAAACACCCCAAATTTGAAAGAAGAATTGTTTACATTTTTGAATGGGTTCTTTCAAAGTACTGTAAAAATTATAATGATTTTAACCAAGCTTTACCATAATGCTATGTAAATTTAGTAACAGGCTTAATTTGGTAATAGGTTTAATTTTTTTAAAAAAAAAGACAGGTGGTTTATTTTTTTTAATGTATACCCTTCCATATCATTGAAATGTTTGCCAAATGAATGTGCTGTTTGTACACATATTTAAGTGTAGGACTATAAGGAGACAGCAAAATAAAAATAGAAAAAATTTTAAAGTGAAAGATTCCATCAAGCTACTAATTTCGACAGATTTTTTAAAAATCACATTAAGCGATTTACTCTTAACTTTTGTTTTGGATTTAACCTAATCAGGTCAAGCAAATTAATACAATTACAACATGAACATAGTCAGAACAGATTCTCTTTCTGCATCTCAACTACTCTGGAGAGAGAATAATTGTAAACTAATGCTATGTGAAGTGATATGATATGTGCAATGATATGATGCTATTTCATTGCAGGCATGATCACAAGGCTCCGCCACCCTGTGTCAACCAAGGCCAACAAGGTCCCAGTCTCTGTGTCCCTGGGAAGTGGTATGGATACACCTTTTGGCTCTTAAACTTCATTTCCCACCATTTTTGGTTGAAGCATAAATAGTTAACTAACTGGAAAAATGACGGAAGACAGGAAGGAAGGTCCTGTTCAGATTGTTCCAGGGAGGGCTTCAGCTCTGGAGATTGAGATTTCTTCTTCTTCTTCTTCTTTTTTTTTTTAAGTTGTTGATAGACATTTATTTATTTATTTATATGAGATTCTGAGACTTGAACCCAGTGCCTCACACATGCCAGGTGAGTGTGCTACTGCTGAGCCACAGCTTCAGCCCCTTGAGTCATTTCTTAAAACATTCTATCCACCCAACTGAAATCTGTACTCTCCCCAGCAATACCCAAAAGATTATCAAATTTTTCCTCTTATTTGATCCTACCATTATTCTCTAGCACCCCATTGCCTAGACTACAGTTTTATTAACAAAATTTAACAATATTTTACCAACTTAAGGGCATCAAACACATTTTGACACTGATTTCTCCAAGATGCTTCTGGTTGGTAGCATTTTACTCTAGGTTTTTCTTTTTCTTTCTTTCTTTTTTTTTTTTTTTTTTGATACTGGGGATTGAACCCAGGGGTGCTTAGCTACTGAGGCACATCCCCAGTCCTTTTTATTTTGAGACAGGGTCTGACTAAATTGCAGAGGCTGACCTTGAACTTTTGATCCTCCTGCCTTAGCCTCCTGAGCTACTAAGATTAAACTTTCTTATTGGTAATTGCAGCTGCTTTAAGAACAGTGTTTTCCTGAGTGGTGTTATTTATGTGTGTCATAAGACCACATCATTAAAGATTTTTTTTTTTTTTTGAGTTACTGACTTAAATTTAAAAGTTTTGGCCAGGTGTGGTGGTGTACACCTGTAATCCCAGCAGCTCAGGATGCTGAAGCAGGAGAATGAAGAGTTCAAAGCCAGCCTCAGCAATTTAGTGAGGCTTTAAGCAACTTAATAAGACTCTGTCTCGAAGTACAAAAAGGGCAAGTTTTGTTGTTCTTCATATGTCAATATAAAAATCTCACTAAGGAGGAAATCACTTAGGAAGCTGTTGGTCCCAAAGCCTTCTGTACTCATCCTCAAGAGTGTCTGTCTTGCCTTCTTAGGAATCTGGGAACTGAAAAGAGAAGAGATCACCCTGTTGAAGGAGCTGGGAAGTGGCCAGTTTGGTGTGGTCCAGCTGGGCAAGTGGAAGGAACAGTATGATGTTGCCGTTAAGATGATCAAGGAGGGCTCCATGTCAGAAGATGAATTCTTTCAGGAGGCCCAGACCATGATGTAAGTTTCTTCTAAGGAATGACATTTTGGCTTTCATCACAGGAGGGCATTAGTACTCATGAGCCTGTCCCTAATATATGCAAGGCCTGAGCAAGTGTCCTCATGTCATAGAAATATTTAGAAGTTACAAGTTGAGCTAACAAACTTAAATAACAGTTTGTGCTGTTACTATTACTTTGACACATCATAAGAATTTGAACAACCTGATTTGAATTCAGAATTCTGACTCTACAGTGTGACCAGCCTTTGGTCCTCCAAATTCCACCCTTGCCCTTTCTCTTCCCATCCACAGGTAATTCAAGCAGACAGCATTCAGCCCAGGCTCCCTCCTGTCTCCAGAAACAACCATCTATTAGCTAATGATCTTAACTAGAGGTAGCAAGGTTTGCCCTTGAAGGGATAGACCCAAGGGGTATTCTGGAAGAAGCCTCAGGACTATATGGACAAGGGGTTCCAGAGTCCCAGCACCCCAAGAGTGGCTAAGAAAGGGATATACAGGCTGTGCAGGAAGGTCTCCTTCACACTGTGGCCTTTCTGACCCTTGAGGAGGTGCATGGTGGGATGAGGGACAGAGTGGTGCTACTACCCAGGACTAAGACGACACTGTAAAGTAATGTGCTACCACCAATATCCTTTTCCTTCTTGATACCTTCAATACAGTCTGGTAAAAATCCCTTCTCACCCTACTTTTTTTCTTTCCTGATAAATGAAGATTTCCTTCCTAATGAATCTAGATTCCAAGCATAATCCTCAGTTCTTAGCAACACAGCTCATCACTCGTGTGTGTGTGTGTGTGTGTGTGTGTGTGTGTGATGTACATAATTCACCCTCTTCTTGTCAACATGGTGAATCAGACTTTGTAAGGTAACCAATCCTCCAGGTTTACCTGGGACTTTCCTGGACGTACAACTGAAAGTTCTGTATCTCAGAAACCCCTCAGTCCCAGGCAAACCAGTGCAACTGATCCCTCTACTTTGGAGGAACCAAGTATCAGGGTATGAAAATAATATTATAGTAGAGGTTTTGTCAAAGATAATTGAAATTGCACATCCTAGCCTATTTCAGATTAAAAGCATATTTAAATTTTGTACTGACAATCCTTCTTTTTCAGGGCATCTGGAAAAATGGAGTAGAGCATTGAACTTTGAAAATCTGTTCTTTCCAGGAAACTCAACCATCCCAAGCTGGTTAAATTCTATGGAGTGTGTTCAAAGAAATATCCCATATACATAGTGACTGAATATATAACTAACGGCTGCTTGCTCAATTATCTGAAGAGTCATGGAAAAGAACTAGAACCCTCCCAGCTCTTAGAAATGTGCTATGATGTCTGTGAAGGCATGGCTTTCTTGGAGAGTCACCAATTCATACACCGGGACTTGGTAAGCTAAGCCACTGGAAGCTTGAAGAATGGAAAGGAAGTGTCCACCTCTAGGGATGGGCCACTCAGAAGGATAGCAAGGAGGGAATCCTCACTTTTACTTTGCTTACTTGTAACTTGTATAAGCACATAACACTTTTGTAATAAATATCATGACTTTAGAGCTGAGCATGTTGGTGCACGCCTATAATCCAGGCAACTTGGGAGGCTGAGGCAGTAGGATTGCAAGTTGGAGGCCAACTCAGCAACTTAGTAGGATTGCAAGTTGGAGGCCAACTCAGCAACTTACTAAGGCCCAAGGCAACTTAGAACTTAGTGAGACTCTGTCTCAAAATAAAAAATGAAAAGGGCTGGGAATATAGCTCAGTGGTTAAGCACCACTGGGTTCAATCCCTGATACAAAAAAAAAAAAAAAGGAAATGAAATTTGTGGATTCTTGGGTTGGGATGGGAATGGAATGGAGAGCATTGTGGGTGGCATTACCTGAGGTCTATCTTTAGAGATGTTCTTGTGGTGCATACAAACATGCCATGCCTATCAGGCCAGTGTATTCATTCTATAAGTCGCTGGTGCAGTGTTTATATGACTTCAAAATATTTGTTAAAGTTCAGTATCCAGAGCACCTAGAAAATTTTCCTTTCTCCTTTGTAAGCTAATGTTGTGTGTTAAATATATACTTTCATATTGCTTGACAAGAATGGGTGCTGGGTGAAAATTCTTATGGGAAACACATTTGTATTTTGAAAAAATTGAAATTGCAAGGGAAAAAAAGACAACTTCAAAGCATTTGGAGCCTGGTATAGTGGTGCACGCCTGTAATCCCAGTGGCTCAGGAGGCTGAGGCAGGAGGATTGCAAGTTCAAAGCCAGCCTCAGGAACAGCAAAACATGAAGCAACTCAGTGAGACCCTATCTCTAAATAAAATACAAAAAAGGGCTGGTGATGTGGCTCAGTGGTCGAGTGCCCCTGAGTTCAACCCCCGGTACCCCCACAAAAAAGCATTTGGGGTTATTATAGGCAATATTAGATTTTGCCTAGAATTCTGCTGCAGCAGAAAAAAAGTGATTCTGATATCAGGAAATTCTTGGGCACTTTTATCACTCAGAGATTTGTTTTCCCTCCAAAGGCTGCTCGGAACTGCTTGGTGGACAGTGACCTGTCTGTGAAAGTCTCTGATTTTGGAATGACAAGGTAAGCCAATAATCAGGTTTTTTTGTTGTTGTTTTTCCTAATGTTTGATATTACAGTAGAGATTTCTAACATATTTTGCTGTGTAGCATTCTTATCAATTATATTCAATTTTTTGACTTCTGAAATTTTCTTTCTCTTATTTTCTCTAGTTGAGTCATTTTGTTTGTGTACTAGGGTTTCTTTTTATTTTTTAATTTTTTTAGATGTATTGACCTTTATTTTATTCATTTATTTATATGTGATGCTGAGAATCGAATCCAGCACCTCACACATGCTAGCCAAGTGTTCTGCCACTAAGCCACAGCCTCAGTCCCTGTACTAGAGTTTTTTTTGTGTGTGTGTGTGAGCAAATACATGGTATTCCTTCTGCTAATTATATAAATAATATGTATATATTATAAGAAATATAGCATTAGTATGTAAAGTTAAAAGTAGAGTCTACCCCAAGTCCTCCCGACCGTTTCAGCAATTTAGCAAGGCCCTAAACAACTCAGTGAGACCCTGTTTCAAAATACAAAATAAAAAGGGCTGGGGATGTGGCTCAGTGGTTAAGCTCCCCTGCGTTCAATACGTAATACCAGAAAAAAGATCAGAAAATACAAGCAAAAGTATACCTTGAGAGATAGAATTACAGTCATCTTCAGGGTGGGATTCCGAGTGATTTTTTTCATTTGTCTATTTTTGTGTTTTCCCCTATTTACCACTTTTCTTTCATGTTTTGCTATTTTCAAAGTTACATTTTCTAAATACTTGCAAATCATGAGAAGCCTTTAATTAAACTGACACATGGAAAGGAAAGAAAAAGAAAACCAGGACATTCAGCTAAGATTCTGGATGCCCTTCACCAGCCTATTCCACCACACAGGCAATAGTGGCCAGCAGAGGTTGTTTTAGTCAGCTTTTTTGCAGCTGCAACTAAAAGACCCAACCAGAACAATTATAAAGGAGAAAAAGTTTGTTTATGGACTCACAGTTTCAGGGGTCTCAATGCATAGACAGCAGGCTCCATTCCTTGGGGGAGAACATCATGGCGGTAGAGTGTGGCAGAGAGAAGCAGCTCTCGTGATGATCAGGAAGCAGAGAGCAAGACTCCACTCTCCAGATACAAAATATATATCCCAAAGCCATGCCCCCAATGCCCCACCTCCTCCAGCAACACCCCACCTGCTTCCAGTCACCACCCAGTTAATCCCATCAGGCGTTAATTCACGGATTGGGTTAAGGCTCTCACAATCGGATCATTTCTCCTCTGAACCTTCTTACATTGTCTCACATGTGAGCTCTTGGGGGATACCACATCTATACCATAACAGAGGTCTTCCCATTTTGCATCACCATGTACTTAATGTCTGTGTTGATGTTTCCCCCTAGGTATGTTCTTGATGACCAGTATGTGAGCTCAGTAGGAACAAAGTTTCCAGTCAAGTGGTCAGCCCCAGAGGTGTTTCACTACTTCAAATACAGCAGCAAGTCAGACGTATGGGCATTTGGTAAGGAAGTGGCCACACAGGACCTGGCCCTGTTTCATAAGCTGGCTTCCACAACAGGAAACCACAAGAGCAACAACATCCATTTTAAAGAGGCCATTTTACAAAATTATACATATGGCTTGAGACAAGCAAGAAATTGAAGAAGATGACTTACCTTCTTAGGTCGGGTGTTAGGATGTCCTGTGCACATCGCATAATTTGCATCCTCCTTACATTTTTTCATAGAGTCAAAGGGGATAAAAACTCTCCCAATGAAGATTTCAAACATTTTTTAAAGGAGTCATTAAAAACTAAATCTGAGTTTGCTTAAAATCCAGAAAGTTGAAAGACTTAAGATGGAGTCATCTTCTGTATGAAAGTAACTGATAACTATTCCCTTCTGAATAGACCAATTCTTTGGACATCCCTAATGGAAGCATCAGACATGACTCAGCACTTTCTTCAGCTTGGTATTAGCTTTTCATCACTATAACATATATCTCAGATAATCAACTTATAAATAGGAAAGGTTTGTTTTGGCTCACAGTCTTGGAGGTTCTTGTCCATGATCAATTGGCTTCATGGCTTTTGGGCCTGTGGTGAGGCAGCACATGGTGGAGCAAAGCTGCTCACCTCATAGCCAGGAAGCAAAAAAGAGAAGAGGGGCTAGAGTTATGGCTCGGTGGTAGACTGCTTGCCTGTCATGTGAGAGGCACTGGGTTCGATTCTCAGCACCACATATAAATAAATAAATAAATAAATATCCATCAATGACTAATAAAAAAATTTAAGGGAAAAAAAAAAGAGAAGAAGAGGAGGAGCAGGGGACCCACTAGCCCCTTTAAGGGCACACTCCCAAGAACCTAAAGACTTTCCACTAAGCCCCACCTTTTAAAGTGTCCACACCTCCCAATAGCATCAACCTGGGGACCAAGCCTTTGACATATGGTCTTTGGAGGACATTCAAGACCCAAACAAGAGCAAGTTCAGTCCTCATTTCAAGTAGTCTCCTCTCCTTGTTAAAATTCATAGTTTAGATTGGGGACAGGAAAAAAAACAGGTGGCCTATTTCTGTAAATAGTTTTTTGGTTGTTGTTGAACCAGAGATTGAACCTAGGGGCACTTAACCACTGAGCCACATCCCCAGACCTTTTTTAAAAATATTTTTATTTACAGACAGGGTGTCACTAAGTTGCTTATGGCCTTGATAAATTATTGAGGCTGGCCTTGAACTCACAATCCTCTTGCCTCAGCTTCCTAAGCCACTGGGATTTCAGGTGTGTACCACTATGCCCACCTGTAAATAAAGTTTTATTGGTACACAGCCATGGCCATTTAATTCCACATTGTCTGTGACTGATTTCATGCTACAACAGCAGAGGAGAGTAGTTGCCACAGAGGCCACATGACTCACAAAGCTTAAAGTGTTTATTAGGCAGCCCTTTACATAAGAAGTTTGTTAACTCCTATTTTATTAAAATATCTATATTAAAATTTAGTGGTAGAGTGCTTGCCTGGCATGTTCAAGGACCTGGCTTCAATCCCTAGCACTAAAAAAAAAAAATTGGTAAAGGTAATTAGGAAAGGGAATCAATTCTTGTGACTCTATGAATTTTGAGTTTTTTTTTTAATGTGATGAGAATGTCAGCACTGTTTTCAATCACTGTCAGATGGGGTCCAGGATAAGTAATCTAAATTATCATAAAATTATAAAACGTATTAAATATGACAGACCTATTTCATGCCTGTCTTAGTTCATAAGTGCAATTTGACTTACTGCTTAATACTGGCAAGATGGTCCCCCAAAAGAAACATTTCATTAGTCATTTATTTTTCTATGAGACACAGGTTTTTGGGTTTTTTTTTGGGGGGGGGTACTGGGAATTGAACCCAGGGTGCTCAAGCACTGAGCCACGTCCCCAGCCCAATTTTTATTTTTTATTTTGAGACAAGGTCTTGTTAAGTTGCCTAGGGCCTTGCTAAAGTTGCTGAGGCCATTCTTGAATTCACAATCCTCCTGCCTTAGCCTCCTAAGTTGTTGGGTATGTGACAACATTTTTAAAAATAACTCTTCCCTTTGGATATTTGGCATTGTTCATTGGAAAAAAAATCCAATATACACAGAAAAGAAAAATCATGAAGCTAGCATTTTGCTGAATAGTTAATGTCATTTTTGTATTGATTAAATTTTGTACCTTGTTGTCAAAATTAGTTTCAATGTCCACACATCAGTTGATATGTCTAATAAATGATATCTTAAAAATCAGCACTATCATTTAATAGTTTTAACTTGGTTTTGGCCAAAACTCAGCCTATCCAGCCTGAGTATTCACTTTTTGCAACAAAATTTGGCTCTAGATATTTCCTGGCTGCTTACAAACAATAATCCATTCTTCGTTTTTCCCAGGGTCGATATACAAAATGAATCAGGACCTCTGAAAGCAGTTCCCAAAGAGTAGCCCCACTGATTTTTTTTTAGCAGTGATGTTAACCTTGAAATAAATGTTTAGAATTCCAAAGAGAAGGTTGTGAGGGATCAGCACTCTCCTGGATAGTTGTTTTAGAATGTGTTTTTTTTCTTTTTTTTTTTTTTAAAGAGGAGTCACACTGGGCATGTGGCTCAGTGGTTAAGCGCCCCTGGGTTCAATTCCTGGTACCAAAAAAAGAGTCACAACAACTTAAAAGATTGCTTTATTTATACATATCTTACCAAAAAAAAAAAAAAAACTGTAACCTTAAAATAAAAAAAAGAGTTAGTATCTCAGTTATGGCTTTAGAACAATTTTCTTCCTTCTGGTTTTCCAAGGTTTTGAATTTGGCAGAATGTTGAAATTCTCTGTCCTTAGACAGAACAGCACTATTCAGACAGCACTTAAAATGTCCTGGAAGACTTTCAAGTATACTGCATGCCATATTCTACTGAATCTTCATGGCAAGTTCATGTGGTGTAAATACTCTTTTATACGCGGGGAAACTGAGGCTGGGAGCGACTAAGGAATCTACCCAGCCTATATAAGTGGCAGAACTTGGCTTAAAAGTTCTGACAGAGCCGGATGATGGTGGCACACTCCTTTAATCCCAGTGGCTCTGGAGGCTGAGGCAGTAGGATAGCAAGTTCAAGACCAGCCTCAGCAATTAGCAAGGCCCTAAATTACTTAATATGACCCTGTCTCAAAATAAAAAATAAAAAGGTTTGGGGATGTGGCTCAGTGGTTAAGGACCCCTGGGTTTAATCCCTGGTATCAAAAAAAAAAAAAAAAAAAGTTCTGACTGATTTCAAATGCCACTGTCTTGAAATGCCACCCTCTTGGCCATCATGACCAGAACTCGGTTTCTTAATGTGGAGTCCACATGCCCTGAAGGATTGTGAACACCCTGAAATTGAACACAAAAATGCTGAAGGGAAAGGCAGTGGCAAGAGAAGGGGAACATCATCAATGATTTTATCTTTTTTAATTGTTTTGGTATCAGGGATTGAACTAGGGGGCATTCAACCACTGAGCTAAATCCTCAGCCCTATTTTGTATTTTATTTAGAGACAGGGTCTCCCTGAGTTGCTTAGCACCTTGCTTAGTTGCTAAGGCTGGCTTTGAACTCATGATTCTCTTGCCTCAGCCTCCTGAGCCGCTGGGATTACAGGTGTGTGCCACTGTGCTTGGCTGATTTTATCTTTAATTCCTCTGAAAGGTAATTCGTGCAATGAAGTTGTTGCACATAACCATCAAAGCAGAGAAAGAGAGGGTGAGGACTTCAATTGATTACTCATAAAGGTTGGGGCCGGGGCTCCCTACACAGGTTGTTGTCACTATGAGCGGAATGAGGCCTCAGCTGCTTGCCTGGAAAGGCCCAAGAACCTTGGCCCCAAGTGGCCTCCTCCGCACTGCCCTTGCCATTCAATCTTTTTCCAACAAGCACAGTTAGACTGATCTCATGGGATGGGGGAAGAGACCTTGGGCTCCAGAAATGAAGGCACAGTCCCACCCTCCATGCCTGCCCTTTTCCCTAGGACTCACTCCCAGGGATCCCTGGCTCTGATCATGGCCTTCTGTACCTGGATGTGAAGCTAATTCACACTCTGTGCCTTCTCACGTTGACTCTTTGTTTTTTTGGTCTTGTTTTGTTTTTGTCTGTTGACCACCCCTTGGGTGTGGTGCAGGGATCCTGATGTGGGAGGTGTTCAGCCTGGGGAAGCAGCCCTATGACTTGTATGACAACTCCCAGGTGGTCGTGAAGGTCTCCCAGGGCCATAGGCTCTACCAGCCACAACTGGCGTCGGACACCATCTACCAGATCATGTACAGCTGCTGGCATGAGGCAAGTACACCCACGAGTAAGCTGGAAGGGGTCCCGAGTGCATCCAGGGTGGTTGCTGTATCACCACTGGGACAAAATTTTTTCAGGGAAAGCACTTGCTAGATAGAGAAGAGGTGGAAATGGCTCCTGACTTCTGTTTTCAAACGGTTGAGATCTAAACCAAGCAGTTCAGGTGCTGATAATTTACTGAAAGACTTGTGTCCAGCACTATACTAAGAACTTTATAAATTAAAAAAAAAATTTGGGGGGGGCGGTACTGGGGATTGAACACAGGGGCATTCGATACTGAGCCACATCCCCAGCCCTATTTTGTATTTTATTTAGAGACAGGGTCTCACTGAGTTGCTGAGCGCGTCACCACTGCTCCAAACATAGTGCTTGGTGCATGGCTGCTTTGCAATTATATGTGCAATAATAATAACAAACAGAAAGTACTGACTGTATACCAGGTACAGTTCTAAGGACTCGATAGTAATTTATCCAATCCATACAATAATCCTTTGAGGAAAGTACTATTTTACAGTGGAGCACCGAGATGTTAGGAGGCTTGCAACTACTGAGTGATTATATCCTATAACAATATTTTATCACATAGCCTTAAATGCTTTCCTAGAACGTGGGAACTTTGTAGTTCCCCACCCTATGCCACTTGGACTAGTACGTAAATTTCCCCTACCCTTTCCTACCCCAAAATTACAGTCCAAGAGTCTCAGGCTGCACTAAAGGGTCAGACCACTCACAACTAGGCTGACTTACTGCTGTCACCTGTCTGAATAAGAAGAACAGAAAAGGGTTTTTCAGATGAAGCTGGGCACCTCCTGGGCCTCCCAACTCTAGCTCCTGGGAATATGACTGGCCCATCAGATAGACAGGGGCTCTAAATAGGGAGGAACTGCCTGCTTCTCATGGTTGGTCCATGAAAATATGAGTTATGACAGAATCTATGAAGGGGATTGCACAGAGACAATACCCAGTTAAAGATTCTGCATATGGTGAGTAAGTAGATTTTAGAGATTTGGGTTCCCCCTCTTTTTTAATATTTTACTTTGCAACTTTTCAAATCATAAAAAGATTAAAGAACATTCAAATATTTCATTAGATTCTGATTTATCCTTCTGGGAATTCCTTGTGCAAAAAATGGCTGTGTGTTTCCCTTTTTTTCTTACAAAGAAGTATCATATGCGTTATTCTTCACAGGGGTTGCCCTGCTAGCAATGGAGGTGAATATCTGTTTCTGTCACCAATGGAGATTGTTATCAACTTTCAAATTTTTGTTAATCTGATGATGAAAAATGGCATTTTAGTATAGCTTTAACATGTATATCTTTAATTATGAATGAGGTTGAGCCTCTTTTCATATATTTAAGGGTCATTTTTATATCTTTCTTTTTAAATTTATTTTTTAGCTTTAGATGGACACAATATCTTTATTTTATTTTTATGTGGTGCTGAGGATTGAACCCAGTGCCTCACGCATGCCAGGCGAGCGCGTTACTACTTGAGCCTTATCCCCAGCCCCTCATTTATATATCTTTCTGAGACCCATAAATCCCGTTTTTTTCTATCAGGTGTTAATGATTTCTTTATAAATCAGGCATATTAATTTTTGTCTGAGATATAAGCTGTATTTTCAAATATTTCCTCTCAGTTTTTCAGCTATATTTTGATTTAAGTGTTTTTGTTTGTTTGTTTGTTTGTTTGTTTTGGCCATGCAAACATCTTTTTAAATATAGCTGAATATGTCAATATTTGCTTTTATTGCTTCTGAAAATTAAGTCATAGTCATATAGTCTTTCCCACACCCAAATTATAATGGAATTTGCTCAGATTTTCCTCTAATACTTTTCATTATTTTTTATTTAAGTCTCTGATCTAGTTTGTGTCTGTTATGCTATACAGTATGAAGTATGGCTCCAAGTGTATTGTTTTAAATGTTTATTCAGTTGTTGGAAGCACTATTTATCAAAAGACCATCTTATCCCCAGAGATGAGATACCACCTTAATTGTAGTGAAATGCCACCCTAATGTTACTCTAAATTTACATATATATATATTTAGATTTATTTCAGGACTTCCTCTTCTGTTCTTTGTTCTCTCCATTCCTGTGGTAGCACCACATTGTTTTAAATATCTAGAGACTGGACAATGTTTTAATACTGGGTAGGCTAACACACCACCCCTCCCCACATTAATCACCTTTTTCTATAGTTTCCTAGCCATTTTGCATATTTTAACAATCTATGAACCAAAGAATCAATTTGTTTAGCTTGAAACAAACTCTTTCATATTTGTTAGGAAACTGTATTTCATTTGAGAAACTTGACATCTTTATAATACCGACATGACTCATTCTAGAACATATGTATTTTTCAGCAGTGTTTTAAAGCTTTCCTCATTGGGGAGGGGAAGTACATTTTTAAGTATTTCATTTTGATGATGTTGCTATTAGAAATGGAGTTTTCTCAGGGGCTGGGGATGGGGCTCAGCAGTAGAGTGCTCACCTAGCATGTGTGAAGTGCTGGGTTTGATCCTCAGCACCACATAAAAATAAGTAAATAAAAAATAAAGGTATTGTGTCCAACTACAACTAAAACAAAATATTAAAAAAAAAGAAATAGAGTTTTCTGTGATATCTTTTAACTGGTCATTGTAGGTATATGTGAAGGTTATTGATTTTGTATCTTAATTTTATATCCTGCTCTCCTGGTACATTCCTTTATCACTTGAGTTGGTTCTATCATTGATCCTTTTGAGTTTTCCAGGCACACAATTATGTCTATGTGAAAAAATAATAATTTTCCTTTTTCAATTTATGAGGCTGTAGTTTTTTTTTTTTTTTAACTAGGGATTGAACCAGGGGTGTTCAACCACAAAGCTACATCCCCAGCTCTTTTTTACATTTTATTTAGAGACAGGGTGTCCCTGAATTGCTTAGGGCCTTACTAAGTTGCTGAGGCTGGCTTTGAACTTGCAATTCTCCTGCCTCGGCCTCCTGAGCCATTGGGATTATAGGCCTTTAAGTGTTTTCACATTCTAATATCTTCAACATGATGTTCAGAGTGATGGATATAGCAGGCCCCTTGCCTTGTTCCTTACCAGAAATATCTATGGCTTTCACATTTCAAAAGTTATTAGCTTTAGGACTTAAGTATAAATATTTGATTTTTTAAAGTTTTTAATTATAACTTTCACTATCTAAAATATTGGATATTTCTTTTATTTAGCTTCCAGAAAAGCGCCCCACATTTCAGCAACTCCTATCTTCCATCGAACCACTTCGGGAAAAAGACAAGCCTTGAAGAAGAAATTAGAAGTGCTGATGAGAATGAACGTAAATATTGGCCAACATTTTCATTCTTTAAAAGGAAATTAGCAGGGCTGGGACTGGGGCTCAGTGGTAGAGCGCTTGCCTAGCATGTGTGAGGCACTGGGTTCGATCCTCAGCACCACATAAAATGAATAAATAAAACAAAGATATTGTGTTCATCTATAACTAAAAAATATTGAACAGAAGAAAAGTAGCAAGTCCCAATGTAATTTAGCTAGTTCTTAATAGCATTCTGCATGCTGTTTGTCTGTTCATATTGTCTAGAAATGAGTAAGATAGGAAATAAAAAATTTCCTTGAAATGTAGGTCAAATTAGTAATTTCCTTTATGCTGCTTTTATTGTAACACTTCCCAGTCTGTAGCAGAAGTACATTTTCATATTGCAATATGGAGAGAGTGTGTAGCATGTGTCAAGATTGGGTAGAATTGAAAAATTATTTGTTAGATACTTGTTCTTTTCTTTCTGTTGTCATTATGATAATTAAATATAGTATCAGGTGCAGAAATGTGGACATTTGCCTTTGTAAGTCAGTGGTCTCAAACTTTAGCATGCATGAGAATTAAATGGAGAGTTTATTAAACACAGATTTCTAGGAACAGCCCCAGAGATTCTGATAGAGCAGGCCCGAGTGCAGCCTGTAAATCTGTATTTTTTCACAAGCTCCCAGACATTGCTAATGCTGTCATTTGAATTACCCAAATGCACCTCATTTTGTGGTAGGGCATTGTTTTGTGGTCCATGATTCAATCCAAATGGCACAACTGTCTTCTGATATCCAGATTAGAATACCGATTGTTATACTCTGGTTTCTCTTCAGATCGTATAAATCTTTCGCCTTTTTAGAATACCTATTGTTTACCTCATGTATACACATATAAAACTAAAGTTAAATAATATTATTCAACAATATATTAAACGTGTTTCACATAGAGCAAATTTTAAAAGATGCTAAGGTACAATTTGATATCTTTTTCCTTAACTTTAGCCTTAACCTTGACTATGATCAATCACAACTCAGTGAAACCAGGGTCTTTTTCTAAAATTGATGCTTTTGAATCATTTTACATTCTTGAATTTGGAGCTCTGGGGCTTTTGGCTTGTTTGACAGCTGAAGTTTCAATTTCAGTCTTGGATCTTAACACAAAGATGCAGAAGTACTATTTTAGCTTCTTGTGGCTATTATAAAGGGTATTTCTTAATTTTAGAATGTTTATGGGAGTGTCCTACTTTGCAATCTGCTGCTGACTCCATTAGGGTTGTTTTTGTTGTTATTTTTTTTTTACTTATTTATGGACCTTTATTTTATTCATTTATTTATATGCAGTGCTGAGAATCAAACCCAGTGCCTCACACATATCAGGTAAGTTCTCCACCACTGAGTCACAACCCCAGCTCTAGTTTTTTTTTTTTTTTTTTTTTTTAGTATCTTTTGGAATATTTCATTGTCTTTTCTGTATTATCAAGAAGGGAGAAAGGAATGCTATACGGGGCACTATTTAAAAAAGCAAAAAACTCCAATTAAACCCTACTGTTATTTTTCAGATAAAAATTAATACTCTCCCTTAAGAGACATCCTGTTTACTCCCTCACCCACCAGATAGCTCAAATGTTCTCTCTTACTTATTCATTTATTGACATTTAATTAATGATTCATTTATTTCAACAGAAAATTTACATTTGAGGCTGGGGCTCAGTGGTAGAGCGCTTGCTTAGCATGTGTGAGGCACTGCGTTCAATCCTCAGCACCACATAAAAATAAACAAATAAAATAAAGGCATGCTGTCTATCAGTGAATTAAAAAAAAATTTTTTAAAAGAAAATTAAGGCCAGGTGCATGCCTGTAATCCCAGTGGCTCAGGAGGTGGAGGCAGGAGGATCACGAGTTCAGCCTCAACAATTTATCGAGGTGCTTAGTAACTCAGTGAGACCCTGTCTCTAATAAAATACAAAATAGGGCTGGGGACATGGCTCAGTGGTTGAGTGCCCCTGAGCTCAATCCCCCCAAAAAAGAAAATTAACATTTGATCATCATCTATTTTGAATAGAGGTACACAAATCTCAATATATAATGAAATGTACTTTAAAAATAATCACCATGTCATTTATACATTCATTCATTTACTCCTTTATTTTGTAATTGCTGTGTGCCCCATTCTTTCCTACCCACAGGAAGAGAAGGAACAAGTGACACAATCCTGCCTTCTCCATGAGCCTGCAGACCAGTGGGAACCTGCATCATAGACCGTTAATCTTTGTTTTTGGTCTCCCTCTTGATTGTTTTCCTTTATTGTCCTTATTTTTGTGTATTTGATCTTTTAAAAAAGAATCTGCTTTATAACAAAAGTAGTACATGCTTGTTGCAAAATTCAAACAATACAGAATTGTTTACTATGAAAAGAGAATAAAGCTTTGCTTAGAAGCCTGACTCCTGAAACCAAGCCAAGCAAGAATTCAAGGTACCACTAGAGGCTTACCAGAAAATAAGTCCAAGAGGAGCAAAACAAACAAACAAACAAAAAAAACCCCCCAAAACCCCCCAAAACAAAAAACAACAAAACTTCATATATCTAAAAAATACATAATGACTTTTAAAATGTGGTTTAATTGTGTTTTGTGGTGATATGCAGCATTCATGGTTATAATTTTAAACAGAAGTCTGCCCACATTCTCAGGGGAGTAAAGAAAAAGGCACAGACTTCTTTGCTAAGAAACTTTCCCAAAGGGCAAGCCAAAGAGCAACTTCAGAGAAGAGATTTTCTAGATGAAGTCCAAAAGTCTTTTTTTTTTTTTAAAGAGTGAGAGAGAGAGTGAGAGAATTTTTTAATATTTATTTTTTAGTTCTCGGTGGACACAACATCTTCGTTTGTATGTGGTGCTGAGGATTGAACCCGGGCCGCACGCATGCCAGACAAGCGCGCTACCACTTGAGCCACATCCCCAGCCCCAAGTCCAAAAGTCTTGGTGAGCTTTTTCGGATCTGCTAAAAGTGAAATGCAAAGTCAAGAGAGTCTAGCAAAATCCATATCATATCTGCTTGAATTAATCAAGAGAAAGATTCTAACATAGTAGACTTATAAATTTGAGTTTCTCAATTTTGATTCTGACTCTGACTCTTAAGTGAATGAGGAGAGATTGGACCTAAGGCCCCATCTTTACTTAATGGGGAAAGCATGGCTTTCAAATGAGGGAGAATAATTCATTGACAGACATCAGGGGAGAAGAAGGTAGCATCTGCCCTTTTTGCTTTGATTACTTTTCTACCAACCCCATCCCATAAAAAATAATTAAATTCCTAGGAAGTAAACACTTAGTGAATGTCTTCTGATTCTATAAACAGATGTTCCTTCTGTCTCTGAACTCATAATTTCATGTAACCCTTGCTTCCTTAGTCAGCAAAGTTTGCCTGGAAAAGGCCCTGTGAGATGGGCATGGTGGTGCATTCCTGTAATCCCAGCGACTCAGGAGGCTGAGGCAGGAGGATCACAAGTTTCAGACCAGCCTCAGTAGTTTAGTGAGGGCTTAGCAATTTAGAGAGATCCTGTCTCCAAAAAAAAATTTTTTTAAAGGGCTGAGAATATGGCTCAGTGGTAAAACAGTCCAATCCTCAGTACCCCTCCCCGCCAAAAAATAAACAAGGCTTTGTGAACTGTACCATCTCTGAGTCAACTACCCAACACCGTTTTGTAGCATGAAAGTAACCCTAGACAATATGAAAATGAATGGATGTAATTGGATTCCAATAAAACCTCATTTATGGACAATGAAATATGAATTGCCTATTATTTTTATGTGTCATGAAATATCATTCTACTCTTCCTGCAGCCATTCAAAAATACAAAAGTCATTCCTAACTCTGGCCATAGGAAGGCAGATGATGGGTGGGATTTGGCTCACAGGTCACAGTTTGTCAATTCACATCCTAGACTCAGTGTAAGACCCTCTTTGTAGAGTCTCCATCCTCTTAGAGGATCTATTGTACAAAGGACCACAAAGCTTCACCTGGGGGGCAAAGTGAGAATGGCACTGGTGAAAACCCCAAAATCAAGTACGGAAATCAGCAGGTTTTTCTAAATTCTGAGTTACAGCTGAACATTATGTCATGTACCCATGGATCCTTTCCATTGGCTGGGGAGGCTCTTTTGAAGGTGTTAGGTGATGACGTTGGTTCCTGTAGAGGTTATTTTTGCACTGAGTTGAACCAAAACAAGGACTGAGAACTTCATAAAGAGAATGTGGCAATTATAAGGAATGTTTAGGTAACAAGAAGCTTGGCAGAGATTGTCATGATGTGTTAGAGAAGATAGGACATACTCAAGATAGAAGGATGCCAATGAAATGGGTATGTAAATAAGGAGATGTTGTTGTAAGTTATCCCAAGCTGTGGGCCCAAGGAATGACGTGAAAGTGAGGTCAAAGGTGATAAAGACAGACATGGGTTTCATGCGAAAATAAAGAGTTCCAGTTTTGCTATCTGAGTATAATTAAAAAGATACTGAAGAGCTTCAAATGACTCGGCCTGATTTAGCTATCTTGAAGCAATTTTATAGAGGATTTTGAAAGTCATTCTCTCCTGACTTGGGGAATTGATCCACCATTACCATTATCACATCAAATTTATTAAGCATGAGTTACTCTGACATTATGTGGTTACCATATATATGTGCTCAATGGGTAAACTTTTTATATGTTAATCTATTTAATCTAGTTTTAATCAAATCTTCAAGTAGGTAGTAGATGCTGTGCTCAGAACTGGGCTGGGTACTCTAAGAAATATAAAAGTAGCACTAGGTTTGCTTCCTAACCTGACAGTATAATACAATATAAATACAACTCTTTTTGACCTGATTTTACAATTTCTTTGTCCAATAAAGCAATTTGAGAATTAGGATATCTCCCAACACATTTGGGAGGTCAAAGGTCCCGGACAGTAAGATGACAGTTTTGTCCACGGAAATGAAAAGCAGATAGAATGGACAGAAATCCCAGTATATAAGAACACATAAGACTACAGGAGTATATACATCTAATAAGTATTTATTGCGTGTCTGCTTTGTGCTCAGCACTTCTCAGATACAGTGGGTATACAAAAGATTTAAGAGACTGGGTATCCACTTCAGAGGATGAACACTCAGTTGGAATTTCCACTCACTCTACAGTTAAAGAACAAAGGAAGCAAGTTTCTATCAGACATTCTCTGGAGGTTCATGGAGGCCCTTGTGCTGGTTTTGTGTTGTCAGGGAGATGTTGATCAAGTAGCTTGAAAGTGAAAAAATAATATTCTGTACTGTTCTCTGACTTCTCCTTTCGTTGTTAGACATGCCACCCTGAAGAAGGCATGGTCCATTCTAAACATCACTCTGAGAAAATTACTGCAGTATTTGGATTAAGTTAATGTAAAGAAAACGTGCCATTCTTTATCTTTGACACTTGGATTAAAGTGAACAGTGTGTAGCATTCTCAATCTGGCAGCCCCAGCAGCTCACAGCACAGATTCCATACAAGGTCCAACACTCTCTATCATGATAGTCTTCTTTTTCCCAACTCTGATTACTCAACAGATGTTTCCATTTCCATTGTCTCTAGCTAGCCTGTGAGGCCAAAGGCATACTCTCCCTATTTTACTCTAACATCAGCCTTCCTATCGGAAATCAAAAGAGAAGTCAAGTTTAGAGACAAATATAAATACTGAAAGCAAGGTCAGGGAAGATGCCCACTGCTCAATCATGATGTCTTTGGGCACTTCTTCCTGAACAGAGTCATAGTTTTGATATTTAATAATATTTTTATAATCTCATACTTTTGGTACCATGAAATTAACATGCACATACAATAAAATCACCTTAAGAGGAAAAATATTTTTCTAAAATGAAGTCTGAACATCATCATTGTTTTGATATCCTGGATTATTTTCTCCTTTACCCATTTCCATGGAGGATTCGGCGTAAGGATTTTCTTCTCGTTTTGTTTGATTTTTCCTGTTAAATAAAATGGATGTTAGAAGGAAACTTTTCATTGATCAGACTGATGAAGATCAAATGGCTTGATGGTATCATGTCTAAGGACGTGAGCTGGGGGAAAAAAGAAATTTCATAAATTGATGGTACAAATATGCACTGATTCAGCCACTATGGAGAGCAATTTGGTGATATTTATCAAAATTAGAAGTGCACATTGACTTTGACCCAGCTCTCCCACTTCTAGGACTTACCTTGCACCTATATTGGCACACACAAGAACCTGCCTGCATTAAGCCATTGCACCTTTTTATTAAAAGTCTACCAGTAGAGGACTTGGTAACAAAATTATGATCTATCCATAAAATGGGAAACCACATTGCCTTAAAAAAAGATGGAAATCTCTTTGTACAAGTGATATGGAAAGATCACTAAAACCTATTGAGTGGGAAATTAAAAATGCAGAATATTATACATAATTTGCATACACTAAAAAAAGTGTATATAGCTATATATCACCAAGAAACTGATCATTTTGGTTAACTTTAAGAGAGGAAACTTAAAGGCAAAGGACGACAAAGATTCTGTATTCTTTTGCATTTTTAACAATTTTAACTAAATATGAAATGTACTACCTAGTCAATGTCTAATTTTTAAAATGAAGCTACTTTGGAGAACTAAAAATTATAGTGAAGAATATTAAGTGAAATAAATTAATATATGCAGAGATTCAATCAAGAATATGTTCTATTTGAAGTGTGCATAGTTTTGTGTAGATGTTATAAAATATTATTAACCTACTTCATAAGCCCAGTGAAACTTATTTCTTAAAGTTAGCAGAAAAAAGTCTAGTGTCAAGTAAGAGTAGAAATCCAATCTCTAGCCGGGCATGGTGGCACATGCCTATAATCTCAGCGGCTTGGGAGGCTGAGGCAGGAGGATCACAAGTTCAAAGCCAACCTCAGCAACTGAGCAAAACCCTGTCTCAATATAAAAAATAAAAAAGGCTGGGGATGTGTCTCAATGGTTAAGTGTCCCTGGGTTCAATCCCTGGTATCAAAAGAAAAAAATAAATAAGTAAGTAAATAAATCAGATCTTTAATGATTTAAATCCTCGGTGAATTTGGATCTTCAACTCAAGAACAAATTTGAGAGTACCCGACCATGAATTAAGATAATATGGAGTTTGAGCTACCCCAGGAGGAACAAAGGCAACTAAAGAGAAGCTGTTTGAAAAAAATCTCAGAGCTCCTTCTTGAATGACTTTACAGTGAAATCCATCACCAGTCAAGTCTCTAGGGTCACTTGCAGAGTAAGAAGAACTCATCAGTGAGGATAATACCGAGTCCACCCACCGCTGCTAAGTTGTCAGTGCCTCTTGGCAGTAGGGAAATGATGTCATGGCTTGGATGAGTTTACAAGAGCATGCTAATAAACTGCAGGCTAGATATCTTATGTGGCTTGCTAGGAAGGTGAGTGCTAGTAAATTTCTAGAGAATGCCTCAGAATGTTTGGGGGCAAAATTGTCCAATTAAGTAACTGAACTATATAACCTGCCACTTACTGGAAGTTTTCCAATTAGTATTCCCTAAATCTTCCTGTCGGAAGATAGGTCTAGGAAAGCACTCTTACCTTCTTCGATCTCTGATCCCAGTGAAGATGAGGATGACAATGCCAACCACTATCAATCCCATCACAACTCCAAAAACAATCAGCCATATGGTGACAGGTGGCTGGTAAGGAGGTCCAAGGGTCGGCTGAATCCCCAGGAATTCCAGGCTGTTATCATCCAGGCGGAACACTCCATTGATGCGGCCCCGGGACATTCTATTTCCCCAAAGTGAAACAGTAAAGGGGACAATTAGGCAAAATAAAATTGTGTTTAGTTATTTACTCTTTATATCATTGTTCCCAAAAGAATTTAATTTGTATATCATAAGAATATACATCTAAAGTAATGAAATTAGGCAATCAGGTCTAATGAAAGACACAAATTTTTTGACAGTTATGTATCTTTGATATCTGGAACCTAAATTAGATTTGCCAACAGCTTCACTGAAAAACTGAATTGCAAATATGGAAATGTGCAAATGGTTGGTATTTGTACATTTGTGACTGCTGTGCTTTAAAGGCAAAGTGAGCAAATTTGGTAATAATTTCCTGTCTGCCAGAGTATATCTGCTGTGACTTGATATCAAATAATGGAAAAGGATAATTTGATATCTGTCTTCTATAAATAAATCACATCCTATACCCAAGTTTCTACAGTAGAATTTCCAGCATTGAAGAGTAACACAGGAGGGCTGGGGATGTGGCTCAAGCGGTAGCGCACTCGCCTGGCATGCGTGTGGCCCCGGGTTCGATCCTCAGTACCACATACAAACAAAGATGTTGTGTCCGCCGAAAAAAACTAAAAAATAAACATTAAAAAAATTAAAAAAAAAAAAAAAAGAGTAACACAGGAAAGAGACCTTGGCCAATTTCTCTAGTACTGGGATGGGATATGGCTAAATTTTATGGAGGAAAAAGGATGAAGATCTTTTAAAACAAAAACAGTTGAAATGGAAAACATTCTGGATCAAAGACTAAAGTGTCTAGTATCACATCCTCCTATCCTTGGGTATATCCCAGGTTAGGAGGTCTGAGCTCACCAGAGAGAAAAAGAGGCCAAAGCAGAATTTTTTTAGCCATGTAACCCCTGGCAACTTTGGGGGTTCATATCTCAAGCCATTCTGGAAACAGAAAGTTTAAGGTGTACTGTAGGTGACTGGAACTCCAAGAAGGCTAATCTCTTTTACAAAGATCT